GTTTGTGTGGTAGTGGTGTGGTTAGTAGAGGGGTGGTGAGTTAGTGGTGTGTGATAGTAGAGTGGTGTGGGGTGGGTGGGTGTGGTAGTAGAGGGTGTGTGGTAGTGGTGGGTTGTGTAGTAGAGGGTTGTGTGGTAGCTGGTGGAGTGATAAGTAGAGGGTTTGTGGGGTCGTGGTGTGTGATAGTAGAGGGTGTGTCGGTAGTGGTGTGTGTGATAGTAGAGGGTTGTGTGGTAGTGGTGGGTGTGGTAGTAGAGGGTGTGTGGTAGTGGTTGTGTGATAGTAGAGGGTGTGTGTGTGGTTAGTGGTGGGTTGTGCGTAGTTGAGGGTGTGAGGTAGAGGTTTGTGGTGGGTGATGGTAGTTAGAGGAGTGTGTGGTAGTGGTGTGTGATAGTAGTGGGTGTGTGGGTAGTGGTGTGTGGTAGTAGAGGGTGTGTGGGGATTAGTGGTGTGTGATAGTTGAGGGTTGGTGTGGTAGTGGTGTGTGATTAGTAGAGGGTGTGTGGTAGTGGAGTTGTGATTGTTGAGGGTGTGTGGTAGTGGTGTGTGGTAGGTAGAGGGGGTGTTGGTGGTAGTGGTGGGTGTGATAGTAGAGGGTGTGTGGTTGTGCGTGCTGTCGGTAAGTGAGAGGGTGTGTGGTAGTGGTTTGATTGTAGGCGAGTGGTGTGTGATAGTAGAGGGTGTTGTGGTAGTGGGGGCTGTGGTAGTAGAGGGTACGGTGTGTCGGGTGTGGTGTGTGGTAGGTAGAGGGTGTGTGGTTTAGTGGTGTGTGTGTTGGTTAGTAGAGGGCTGTGTGGTAGTGGCTGTGTGGTAGTGAGGGTGTGTGGTAGTGGTGTGTGGAAGTGGTGTGTGAATAGTAGAGGGTGTGTGGTTGTGGTTGTGTGGTAGTAGAGGGTGTGGGTGTTAGTGGTGTGTGATAGTAGAGGGTGTGTGGTGTGGTGTGTGATTGTAGAGGGTGTGTGGTTGGTGGTGTGTGATTTAGAGGGTGTGTGGTAGTGGTGTGTGGGTAGTAGAGGGTGTGTGGTAGTGGTGTGTGATAGGTAGAGTGCTGCGCCCGTGGTAGTGGTGTGTGGTAGTATAGAGGGTGTGTGGTTGTGGTGTGTGATAGTAGAGGGTAGTGTGGTCCTGTGGTGTGTGGTAGTAGAGGGTTGGTGTGGTAGTGGTGTGTGATAGTAGAGGGTGTGTGGTATGGTGTGTGATAGAAGGGTGTGTGGTAGTGGTGTGTGATAGTAGAGGGTGTTGTTGGTAGTGGGTCTTGATAGTAGAGGGTGTGTGGTAGTGGTGGGTGTGATAGTATGAGGGTGTGTGGTAGTGGAGTGTGATAGTAGAGGGTCGTGTGGTAGTGGTGTGTGATTAGTAGCGGGTGTGGGGAGTGGTGTGTGATAGCGTGAGCGGTGTGTGTGGTAGTGGAGTGTGATTGTAGACTGGGTGTGTGGTAGTGGAGTGTGATTTGTAGAGGGTGTGTGGATAGTGGTGTGTGGATTGGTTGTTCGAGCGGTGTGGGGGTAGTGGTGGGTGTGTTAGGAGAGGGTGTGTGGGTAGTGTGTGTGATAGTAGAGGGTGTTGTGGCTAGGCGCCCCCTGTCTGTTGATAAGTAGAAGGGTGTGTGGTTGTGGTGTGTGGTAGTGTGAAGAGGTGGTGTGGTTGTGGTGATGTGTAGTTGAGGGTGTTGTTGGTAAGTGGTGTGTGATAGTAGAGGGTGTGTGGTAGTTGTGTGTGATAGTAGAGGGTGTTGGTAGTGGTGGGTTTGGGTAGTAGGGGTGTGTGGTTGTGGGTGTGTGATAGTAGAGGGTGTGGGCTGGGTAGGGGTGCGGGTGTGGTGTTTGGAGTTGAGGGTGTGTGGTAGTGGTGTGTGATTGTAGAGGGTGTGTTGGGTAGTGGTGTGGTGGTAGTGAGAGGGTTGTGTGTAGTGGTGTGTGGTAGTGGCTGTGTGGTAGTGTGTGTGTGATAGTAGACGGGTGTGTGGTAGTTAGTGGTGGGTGTGGTAGTAGAGGGTGGAGTTGTGGTAGTGGTGTGTGATAGTAGAGGGATGTGTTGGTAGTGGTGTGTGTGATAGTAGGAGGCTTTGTGTGTGGTTGTGGTGTGATGATAAGTTGTGGGTGTGTGGTTTGTGGTGTGTGGTAGTGGTGAATGTGTGAATTGGTGTGTGAAGTGAGGGTGTGTGGTAGTGGTGTGTGTAGTAGATGGTTGTGTGGTTATGGTGTGTGGTAGTGGTGTGTGATAGTAGAGGGTGTTGTGTGGTAGTGGGGTTGTGATAGTAGAGGGTGTGTGGTAGTGGTGTGTGGTAGTGGTGGTGTGTTAGTAGAGGGGGTGTGGTAGAGTGGTGTGTTGATAGCTAGAGGGTGTGTTGGTAGTGTGTGTGTGATAGTGGTGTGTGATAGTAGGGGCACTACCCGGTGTGTGGTAGTGTCCTAGTGTGTGATAGTTGAGGCGTGTGTGGTAGTGGTGGGTGGTTTATGGTGTGTTAGTTGAGGGTGTGTGGTCGTGGTGTTTGATAAGTAGAGGGTGTGTGGATCTGTGGTGGGTTGGTAGTGGTGTGTGATAGTAGAGGGTTGTGTTGGTAGTGGTGTGTGATTGTAGAGGGTGTGTGGTAGTGGTGTGTGGTAGTAGAGGGTGTGTGGTAGTGGTGTGTGATTAGTAGAGGGTGTTGTGGGAGAGTTGGTGTGTGGTAGTTGAGGGTGTGTGGTAGTGGTTGTGATAGTAGAGGGGTGGTTGGTAGTGGTGTGTGTAGTAGAGGGGGGTGTGGTAGTGGGGTGTGATGTAGAGGGTGTGTGGTTTGTGGTGTGTGATGTAGTAAGAAGGGTTGTGTGGTAGGGGTTGGGTGGGGTAGTGGTGTGTGGTGTGGGTGTGTGAGTGGTGAGGGGGGGTGGTAGTTGCTGTGTGTTTGTAGTGGGGGTGTGGTTAGTGGTGTGTGATAGTAGTAGGGCTGTGCGTGGTGTGGTGTTGTGATAGTAGAGGGTGGGTGGGTGTGGCTGTGTGATAGTAGAGGAGTGTGTGGTAGTGGTGTGTGATAGTTGAGGGGTGTGGTAGTGGTGGGTGTGTATGTGGTAGTTGAGGGTGTGTGGTAGTGGTGGGTTGTGATAGTAGAGGGTGTGGTGGTAGTCGGTGGGTGTGGATTAGTAGCAGGGTGTTGTGGTAGTGGTGATGTGATAGTAGAGGGTGTGTGGTAGTGGTTGTGTGTAGTAGAGGGTGTGTGGTTGTGGTGGGTGTTCGGTAGTAGAGGGGGGTGTGGTTTGGGGTGTGTGATAGTAGAGGGTGTGTGATCGGTAGTGGTGGTTTGGTATAGAGGCTGTGTGTGTTAGTGGTGGGTGTGGTAGTAGAGGGTTGTGTGGTAGTGGTGTGTGATTGATAGTAGAGGGGTGTGTGGGTATGGTGTGTGGTTGTAGAGGGTTGGGTGGTTGTGGTCTGTGTGATAGTAGAGGGTGTGTGGTTGTGTGTGTGATAGTAGAGGGTGTTGGGGTAGTGGTGTGTGATAGTAGAGGGATGGTGGTGGTGGTAGTGGTTTGTGGGGTAGTAGTGGGTGTGTGGTAGTGGGGGGTCTGTGATAGTATGGGTGTGTAGTGGTGTGTCGGTAGTAGAGGGTGTGTGGTAGTGGTACTGCTGGTGGTTGTGGTTGTGTGATAGTAGAGGTGTGTTGTGGTTGTGGTGTGTGGTAGTTGAGGGTGTGTGGTTGTGGTGTGTGTAGTTGAGGGTTGGTGGTTAGTGGTGTGTGGTAGTAGAGGCGCTTGTGTGTGGTAGTGGTGTGTGGGAGAGAGTGGGTGTGTGGTAGTGGTGTGTGGGGGTTGGGGAGGTGTGATAGCTAGTTGGAGGGTGTGGTGTGGTTGTGGTGGGGTGTTGTAGGGGTGGGTGGGTAGTGGTGTTGAGGTATTGTTGAGGGGGGTGGTTGTGGGTGTGTGATGGGATGTTGGTGATGTGGTTAGTGGTGTGTGATAGTTGAGGGGGGGTGGTTGTGGTGTGTGGTAGTTGAGGGGATGTTGTAGGTAGTGGATTGTTGTGATAGTAGAGGGTGTGTGGTAGTGGTGTGTGGTAGTAGTGGCGGGGTGGTAGTGGTGTGTGGTAGTGGTGTGTGATAGTTGAGGGAATGAGTGGTAGTGGTGGGTAACGGTAGTAGGGGTGTGTGGTTTTATTGGTGTGTGATAGTAGAGGGTGTGTGGTTAGTGGTGTGTGATATGAGAGAGGGCTGTGTGAGTTGTGGGGTGTGATTGGAGGGGGTGGTGGTAGTGGTGTGTGATAGTAGAGTGTGTGTGGTAGTGGTGGGATCTGTGTAGTAGTGGGTTGTGTTGGTAGTTGTGTGTTGATAGTAGTGGGGTGTGTGGTAGTGGGTGTGATATAGTTACGAGGGTGTGTGGTGTGTGGGGTGTGATAGTAGAGGGTGGGTGGTAGTGAGTGTGTGATAGTAGTGGGGTTGTGTGGTTAGTGGGGCTGGGTGTGTTGTGGGTGGTGGTAGTCGGTGTGTGTGAGTTCGAGGGGGGGTGGGGTGGGGGGGGGGTGTGTGTGGTGTGGGGGTGGGGGTGGGGTGGGGGGGAGTGGTGAGGGTGTGTGGTTAGGTGGTGTGTGATTGTAGTTGTGGGTGGGTGGTAGTGGTGTGGGTAGTTAGAGGCGTGTGTGGTATGTGGCATGTGTGATAGTAGAGAGGATGTGTGGTAGTGGTGTTGAGATTAGAGGGTGTGTGGTAGTGGTGTGTGATAGTAGAGGTGTGGTGGTAAGTGGTTTTGTGTGATAGTAGAGGGTTGGTGTGGTATGTGGTGTGTGATAGTAGAGGGTGTGTGGTAGTGGTGGGTGTGGTAGTAGAGGGTGTGTGGTTGTGACGAGGGTGTGGTAGTAGAGGTGTGTTGTGGTAGTGGTGTGTGATAGTTGAGGGTAGTGTCGGTAGTTTAAATTTTGTGAAACAGTGCCACAAAAACTTATAAAAATATAACAGAATTATGCCAGTAGCATTTCTCTTTGAATTGCATTTTAAATTTAATTCTCTGATAAAGTTCTTCTTTTCTTCTCTTTCAGTTGATAGTAAATTAACCTCTAAATGCAATGTGGCATTTAATAACACGGGAAACAAGTGGAATTTGAACTCACGGGGAGTCAGTCCTACAACTAGCTGCACCATACCAGTCTATGTGATTCATCCAACTAGACATACATGTATTTCTATACTCCTAGGATAGCTAGCATCGGCTCCACTTTGACTACTATGTAAATTTTCATGCCAATATTTTGGTGTGAAATTTGTCTGTAAACAGCTGTGCTGGGGTCCCACTGGGGCCCATAAAAACCATTCTAGGAGTAAAGAGATATAATTAGATAACTCACATAGATTGGTATGGTATAGTGGTTAGCACACTGGCCTGCTACTTTTAGGACTGGTTTTCCACGGGTTCAAATCCCACCAGTTCCATGAATTATTTACAACTGTGTTACTAAAATTTTATGCGACATTTACCAGTAATACACAGCATCTCATACGTACCTAAAGACTTCTTCTTCTTGTTCAACATAACTGCAGCAGTTTCTGCTATAGGACTCCCCATTAATGTGAGGGCATAAGCGCTTATTGCAACGTGGTAGCAATCGTCTAAATACATTAGATGAGACTCAAGAAAGCTGCAAACACAGAAAATAAGTTAATGTTATATTCAGAAAAAAGTGCAAAATCCACGTGAGTTATTCAGCACTGCCACAGAATCTGCGATAAATAAATGAACTTTTATACTGTTTTTATTTAAGTTTTAAGTTTTTTAACATGCTGGCTGTCTTCCACTGAGGCAAGGTGACCCCAAAAAAACACTTTCACCATCATTCACACTATTACTGTCCTGCCAGAGGTGCACAGATATGACAGTTTAGGTGTCCCTCTAAAACAAAATATCCCCAACGCTTCCTTTAGAGTGCAGGCACTGTACTTCCCACCTCCAGGACTCAAGTCCAGCTAACTATCGTACTGTTACTATAGGCAGTATACCATTTGGATCCCAATACTACCTCCACTTATATATACAATAAACTTTATAAACCATGTAGCATACCTTATGGCTCGTGAACGAGCATCAACGGCATTTGTTCGAGTTGTTCCTTGTAGAGAACTTAGGCTGTTGTGGATAACAATAGTCACCAGAGCTGTCAGAGGTACAGATGATGCCTTCTGGGTTTTCTTCATCTAAAAAATAAAAAATTAAAATTAATAACAGTTTCCAATAAATACAGCTGTCTGAAATATCTTGCATAACAAGGGACTTTCTATAAAGTAGTTCATATGCCAACCTAATTTTAAAATACAATGGAACCTCGGTACTCGAACTTAGTTTGTTTCTGAGGGCTGTTCGAGTGCTGATCTGTTCCAGTTCTGAACGAATTTTTCCCATAAGGAATAATGTAAATTATTAATCTGTTTCAAACCCCCCAAAATACACTTACAGCGACTCTGTGGTTTATTTTTGTATGGTATTTATGATTGTATTCTCATTTTCTTGATCTCATTTAATAGAATGAAAGATATATTGCAAAAATAGAGATGATTTGGAATGGTTTACAGACTTGGAATGGTTTACAGACTTGGAATGGTTTACAGACTTGGAATGGTTTACAGACTTGGAATGGTTTACAGACTTGGAATGGTTTACAGACTTGGAATGGTTTACAGACTTGGAATGGTTTACAGACTTGGAATGGTTTACAGACTTGGAATGGTTTACAGACTTGGAATGGTTTACAGACTTGGAATGTTTACAGACTTGGAATGGTTTACAGACTTGGAATGGTTTACAGACTTGGAATGGTTTACAGACTTGGAATGGTTTACAGACTTGGAATGGTTTACAGACTTGGAATGGTTTACAGACTTGGAATGGTTTACAGACTTGGAATGGTTTACAGTACCTTGAAATTGAGCTCAAATTAGCAGAAATGTTCGATTTTTGCTGATGTTCAAGAAATAGAATGTTGTGTAATTACGCTAATATTAGTAAAAAAGGTTATCCATCTATCTCATTTATTCCAACTTGATATCAGAAACACAATACATAACCTAGAAGCACAATAAGCATGCCAAAAATAATAATAAAAGCCATATTATATGGAGAAGGAGGTGGTGTTTACATCAGGGCAAACACGCTCTATGCAATTTTCTTTTTGGTTGGCTGTTATCAATAATCTTCTTAGCCCTCATGGTGACTTATTCATACAATATAAAAAACACCAAAAAATACAAAGAAACACGAAATAGTTTACAGTGAAGTTCAGTGGAGTTCTGGACTGAAAGGCTTTTTTTTTCTTTTCAACAAGTTGGCCGTCTCCCAACAAGGCAGGGTGACCCAAAAAGAAAGAAAATCCCCAAAAAGAAAACACTTTCATTATCAGCTGCAGGAAAACTGACACACATGTTCTGGCGGGTTGTGTTTATTTGGTCAAGTGCCGAGCAAACAAGTGACTATCAAGCGATTTTTTTTTACCAAACAAAGTGTTCGAGTACCGAATTTTTTGAGTACAGACCTGTTCGAATACCAAGGTTCCACTGTATACTGTATTCCATATTGCAGAAATAAAACACACAAATAACCTGCACAGGGGAGATGGTTATGACGATGTTCCGGTCCAACCTGCACCATTTACAGTCATACCAACACAAAAGATGGTAGGTATTAGGTTTGTCATGTAACAGGACAAGTGTTTCCTGATGTGGGTCTTGGTCATATGATGACCCACAGCTGGAGCTTTTGGTCACCTGACCGAGACCTTCCACTGGTTTACCCCTTCACAACTTTTAAAAATAATGGTTAGGACAGTAGCAGCAGCTGTTCAGCAGTAGCAGCAGCTTCTCAGCAGCACCAGCTGCAGCTGCTCAGCAGCAGCAGCTCAGCAGAAGTAGCAGCAGTAGCAACAACAGCTGAGCAGCAGCAGAAGTGCCTCAGCAGTATGAGGAGCAGCTGCTCCACAGCAGCAGCAGAAGCAGCTGCCTAGCAGCAAGAGCAGCTCAGCAGGAGCAGCATGAGCTGCTCAGCAGCAGCTCAGAAGCTGCTTAGCAGAAGCAGCAACAGCTGATCAGCAGGAGCAGCAGCAGTAGCTGCTCAGCAGCATCAGGAACAGCTGCTCAGCAGCAGTAGCAGCTGCTCAGCAGCAACAGCTCAGGAGAAACAGTGGCAGCTGCTCAGCAGCAACAGCTCAGGAGAAACAGTGGCAGCAACAGTAACACAGTGGCAGCAACAGTAGCTCAGTAGCAGCAGGAGCTGCTCAGCAATAGCAGCAGAAACAACAGCTGCTCAGCAGCAGCAGTTCAGCAGCAATTACTCAGCAGCAGTAGCAACAGCAACTGTTCACCATCAGCAGCAGCAGCAGCTGCTCAGGAGGAAGGGGGTCCCACTTATAAAGCAGATTAGGTTCCAGGGTACTGTAGGGCCCCTCTTCTATAGCAGGTTAGGTTCTGGGCTACTGTAGGGCCCCTCTTATACAGCAGGTTAGGTTCTGGGCTACTGTAGGGCCCCTCTTATACAAACAGGTTAGGTTCTGGGCTACTGTAGGGCCCTCTTATACAGCAGGTTACGGTTCTGGGCTACTGTAGGGCCCCTCTTATACAGCAGGTTAGGTTCTGGGCTACTGTAGGGCACCTCTTATACAGCAGGTTAGGTTCTGGGCTACTGTAGGGCCCCTCTTATACAGCAGGTTAGGTTCTGGGCTACTGTAGGGCCCCTCTTATACAGCAGGTTAGGTTCTGGGCTACTGTAGGGCACCTCTTATACAGCAGGTTAGGTTCTGGGCTACTGTAGGGCCCCTCTTATACAGCAGGTTAGGTTCTGGGCTACTGTAGGGCACCTCTTATACAGCAGGTTAGGGTCTGGGCTACTGTAGGGCTCCTCTTATACAGCAGGTTAGGTTCTGGGCTACTGTAGGGCACCTCTTATACAGCAGGTTAGGTTCTGGGCTACTGTAGGGCCCCTCTTATACAGCAGGTTAGGTTCTGGGCTACTGTAGGGCACCTCTTATACAGCAGGTTAGGTTCTGGGCTACTGTAGGGCCCCTCTTATACAGCAGGTTAGGTTCTGGGCTACTGTAGGGCCCCTCTTATACAGCAGGTTAGGTTCTGGGCTACTGTAGGGCCCCTCTTATACAGCAGGTTAGGTTCTGGGCTACTGCTGTAAAGTGAAACATAGCCCTTTTTTTTCACTTTCAAATGCATATAACATGTGTAAACATGATAATATGTTTACACTTTCATATACTAAGTGAACAACAGAGCTAGGCCTAAAAATTGCATATATTGTACACACATTAATTACCTAAAAATGCTTCTGTCCTTAGCTTATAATGAATGCTATATGTATCTATTATAAGAAGTCTGAATAAATAAAGAACGGAAACAGTTGAAGGCCGTTGTATTAGCTAAATACAGGAAAGTGAAGCACTGTAAAGTGGTGTCTACCTGTATAGTAAGTAAGTAAGTTTACTCAGGTATACACAAATACAGCTACATAAATTATCATATGTAATTAGCATATGTATAGAGAACCCAGAATAACCCAAAAAAGTCAGACAGAGTGACTTATTTGCATTGGGGTCATTTTAATACTTTGTTATTATACTATAAAGGAGATAATATCTTATTATTACTCTATAAAGGAGATATATAGTATAGCGAAGCTTACAAGATCATTTAAAGTTCTCGCACTATTCGTAATGAAATCCCAACAAATGTTATCTTGATGACTTAACTTGACAAATATTACCCTGATAAAAATATGCACTGCAGCCTATTGTCTCCTAGACATTTGGCCGACAGATACTTCTCAGATGGATATATCACTGAAGGACATTTGACCAAATGCTTCACTGATGGACATAACACCTAATGGATATATGTCCAAACATTAAACAAACATCCTATGTAGAAGATTGGTAGACAGCAACCGCCCAGGGAGGTACTATCGTCCTGCCAAGTGAGTGTAAAGCGAAAGCCTGTAATTGTTTTACACGATGGTAGGATTGCTGGTGTCTTTTGTCTGTTTCATAAACATGCAAGATTTCAGGTACATCTTGCTACTTCTACTTACACTTAGGTCACACTACACATACATGTACAAGCATATGTATATACACACCCCTCTAGGTTTTCTTCGATTTTCTTTCTAGTTCTTGTTCTTGTTTATTTCCTCTTATCTCCATGGGGAAGTGGAGCAGAATTCTTCCTCCGTAAGCCATGCGTGTTGTAAGAGGCAACTAAAATGCCTGGAGCAAGGGGCTAGTAACCCCTTCTCCTGTATATATTACTAAATGTAAAAGGAGAAACTTTCGTTTCAACTTTTGGGCCACCCCGCCTTGGTGGGATATGGCCGGTGTGTTGAAAGAAGAAAGATTAAACAAACATTAAAAACAAGAAAAAAATAAAATTAAAAGGGCTATAAAATAACAAACCTAACCTAATTATTCGTTCAGTCTACTGTCCGTTTGGCCAATTGTCCTTCAGTCAAATGTCTGTTGGCCACGTGTCCATCAGTCATCTGTCAGGCCATGAACCTACTTTACCTTCCTTGGCCACATGCATTTAAATCCCATCATACAAAGATAACTGTAACTGCAACTTATAACCCAAAAGAAACTACAGAAAATTGGGAACTAAAATTTAAGCAAGTTCACCTTACTGTCCAGGGTTATTTCTCCTTCCTCTCTGAAGCTGCCATCAGGTTTCTGATACTTCAGCAGGAACTTCACAGCTTTCTGAATGAGTTTTGGATCTATGTATAATAAGTTTTCCCAGTCTTCGTGCTGTGCTGCCAGAAGAATGTTGATAACCTTTGCTGTTAGCCTGGAAATTTTATAGATTGGTTCAGTAATATCATTTGTATCACAATGACAAATATTACCTAAATTAGCAAGTTACCATAATTATGAAAAATATCCTCCCTCTACACTAATCTTTTTAATTACAGTAAACTAAATTAATACCCCCCCCAAAAAAAAGCTTATATTAAGCAATGCTCAAGCTTGATAGAGCTCCTGTGAGGTGCAACATAGCTGCAATAAATATCTCATTAATCAAAAAATATTTTTTTAGCATGGTTGTCTCCTACCGAGGTAGGGTGACCCGAAAAAGAAACACTTTGACCATCATTCACGTTATCACTGTCTTGCCAGAGGTGCAAACATATGAGAGTTTAGATGTCCCTTTAAGCAGCAAATATCCCAAACTCCTCCTTTAGGGTGCAGGAATTGTATTTCCGTCCCCCAGGTCTCAAGTCCACCTAAAGAAAAGAATTATTGTACTTTCAAGGATGGGCGGGAACACTGCTTCAAGGAAGGTCATTTGAATTTTGACATCTGTATTTCTAGAAAGACAGCTAGAGAATAAGTGATGGTAAATGTATTTTTATTCTCATATTTTTTTAAACAAACTGGCCACATCCCACCAAGGCAGGGTGACCTAAAATGAGAAATGAAAATTTTTCTTTTTAAATTTTGGTAATTTATACAGAATGGGTTACTAACCCCTTGCTCCTGGCATTTAAGTCACCTCTAATGACATGCAAAACTTACAGAGGAAGAATTCTTTTCCATTTTCTCATGGATGTAAGAGGACATGGAGAAGTAGAAATAGCAGTAAGTAGAAATAGTAGGTTGGTAGACAGCAACCACCCAGGGAAGTACTACCGTCCTGCCAGATGACTGTGAAACAAAAACCTGTAACTGTTTTGCATGATGGTAGGATTGCTGGTTTCTTTTTCTGTCTCATAAACACGCTAAGATAACAGGGATATCTTGCTACTCCTACTTACACTTTGGTCACACTTCACAGACACGCACATGCATATATATATATACATACATCTAGGTTTTTCTCCTTTTTCTAAATAGCTCTTGTTCTTTTTTATTTCTTCTATTGTCCATGGGGAAGTGGAAAAGAATCTTTCCTCCGTAAGCCCATGCGTGTCGTATGAGGCGACTAAAATGCCGGGAGCAATGGGCTAGTAACCCCTTCTCCTGTATACAATTACTAAAAAAGAGAAGAAGAAAAACTTTATAAAACTGGGTTGCTTAAATGTGCGTGGATGTAGTGCGGATGACAAGAAACAGATGATTGCTGATGTTATGAATGAAAAGAAGTTGGATGTCCTGGCCCTAAGCGAAACAAAGCTGAAGGGGGTAGGAGAGTTTCAGTGGGGGGAAATAAATGGGATTAAATCTGGAGTATCTGAGAGAGTTAGAGCAAAGGAAGGGGTAGCAGTAATGTTAAATGATCAGTTATGGAAGGAGAAAAGAGAATATGAATGTGTAAATTCAAGAATTATGTGGATTAAAGTAAAGGTTGGATGCGAGAAGTGGGTCATAATAAGCGTGTATGCACCTGGAGAAGAGAGGAATGCAGAGGAGAGAGAGAGATTTTGGGAGATGTTAAGTGAATGTATAGGAGCCTTTGAACCAAGTGAGAGAGTAATTGTGGTAGGGGACTTGAATGCTAAAGTAGGAGAAACTTTTAGAGAGGGTGTGGTAGGTAAGTTTGGGGTGCCAGGTGTAAATGATAATGGGAGCCCTTGATTGAACTTTGTATAGAAAGGGGTTTAGTTATAGGTAATACATATTTTAAGAAAAAGAGGATAAATAAGTATACACGATATGATGTAGGGCGAAATGACAGTAGTTTGTTGGATTATGTATTGGTAGATAAAAGACTGTTGAGTAGACTTCAGGATGTACATGTTTATAGAGGGGCCACAGATATATCAGATCACTTTCTAGTTGTAGCTACACTGAGAGTAAAAGGTAGATGGGATACAAGGAGAATAGAAGCATCAGGGAAGAGAGAGGTGAAGGTTTAGAAACTAAAAGAGGAGGCAGTTAGGGTAAGATATAAACAGCTATTGGAGGATAGATGGGCTAATGAGAGCATAGGCAATGGGGTCGAAGAGGTATGGGGTAGGTTTAAAAATGTAGTGTTAGAGTGTTCAGCAGAAGTTTGTGGTTACAGGAAAGTGGGTGCAGGAGGGAAGAGGAGCGATTGGTGGAATGATGATGTAAAGAGAGTAGTAAGGGAGAAAAAGTTAGCATATGAGAAGTTTTTACAAAGTAGAAGTGATGCAAGGAGGGAAGAGTATATGGAGAAAAAGAGAGAAGTTAAGAGAGTGGTGAAGCAATGTAAAAAGAGAGCAAATGAGAGAGTGGGTGAGATGTTATCAACAAATTTCGTTGAAAATAAGAAAAAGTTTTGGAGTGAGATTAACAAGTTAAGAAAGCCTAGAGAACAAATGGATTTGTCAGTTAAAAATAGGAGAGGAGAGTTATTAAATGGAGAGTTAGAGGTATTGGGAAGATGGAAGGAATATTTTGAGGAATTGTTAAATGTTGATGAAGATAGGGAAGCTGTGATTTCGTGTATAGGGCAAGGAGGAATAACATCTTGTAGGAGTGAGGAAGAGCCAGTTGTGAGTGTGGGGGAAGTTCGTGAGGCAGTAGGTAAAATGAAAGGGGGTAAGGCAGCCGGGATTGATGGGATAAAGATAGAAATGTTAAAAGCAGGTGGGGATATAGTTTTGGAGTGGTTGGTGCAATTATTTAATAAATGTATGGAAGAGGGTAAGGTACCTAGGGATTGGCAGAGAGCATGCATAGTTCCTTTGTATAAAGGCAAAGGGGATAAAAGAGAGTGCAAAAATTATAGGGGGATAAGTCTGTTGAGTGTACCTGTAAAGTGTATGGTAGAGTTATAATTGAAAGAATTAAGAGTAAGACGGAGAATAGGATAGCAGATGAACAAGAGGCTTTAGGAAAGGTAGGGGGTGTGTGGACCAGGTGTTTACAGTGAAACATATAAGTGAACAGTATTTAGATAAGGCTAAAGAGGTCTTTGTGGCATTTATGGATTTGGAAAAGGCGTATGACAGGGTGGATAGGGGGGCAATGTGGCAGATGTTGCAAGTGTATGGTGTAGGAGGTAGGTTACTGAAAGCAGTGAAGAGTTTTTACGAGGATAGTGAGGCTCAAGTTAGAGTATGTAGGAAAGAAGGAAATTTTTTCCCAGTAAAAGTAGGCCTTAGACAAGGATGTGTGATGTCACCGTGGTTGTTTAATATATTTATAGATGGGGTTGTAAGAGAAGTAAATGCGAGGGTCTTGGCAAGAGGCGTGGAGTTAAAAGATAAAGAATCACACACAAAGTGGGAGTTGTCACAGCTGCTCTTTGCTGATGACACTGTGCTCTTGGGAGATTCTGAAGAGAAGTTGCAGAGATTGGTGGATGAATTTGGTAGGGTGTGCAAAAGAAGAAAATTAAAGGTGAATACAGGAAAGAGTAAGGTTATGAGGATAACAAAAAGATTAGGTGATGAAAGATTGAATATCAGATTGGAGGGAGAGAGTATGGAGGAGGTGAACGTATTCAGATATTTGGGAGTGGACGTGTCAGCGGATGGGTCTATGAAGATGAGGTGAATCATAGAATTGATGAGGGAAAAAGAGTGAGTGGTGCACTTAGGAGTCTGTGGAGACAAAGAACTTTGTCCTTGGAGGCAAAGAGGGGAATGTATGAGAGTATAGTTTTACCAACGCTCTTATATGGGTGTGAAGCGTGGGTGATGAATGTTGCAGCGAGGAGAAGGCTGGAGGCAGTGGAGATGTCATGTCTGAGGGCAATGTGTGGTGTGAATATAATGCAGAGAATTCGTAGTTTGGAAGTTAGGAGGATGTGCGGGATTACCAAAACTGTTGTCCAGAGGGCTGAGGAAGGGTTGTTGAGGTGGTTCGGACATGTAGAGAGAATGGAGCGAAACAGAATGACTTCAAGAGTGTATCAGTCTGTAGTGGAAGGAAGGCGGGGTAGGGGTCGGCCTAGGAAGGGTTGGAGGGAGGGGGTAAAGGAGGTTTTGTGTGCGAGGGGCTTGGACTTCCAGCAGGCATGCATGAGCGTGTTTGATAGGAGTGAATGGAGACAAATGGTTTTTAATACTTGACGTGCTGTTGGAGTGTGAGCAAAGTAACATTTATGAAGGGATTCAGGGAAACCGGCAGGCCGGACTTGAGTCCTGGAGATGGGAAGTACAGTGCCTGCACTCTGAAGGAGGGTGTTAATGTTGCAGTTTAAAAACTGTAGTGTAAAGCACCCTTCTGGCAAGACAGTGATGGAGTGAATGATGGTGAAAGTTTTTCTTTTTCGGGCCACCCTGCCTTGGTGGGAATCGGCCGGTGTGATAATAAAAAAAAAAAAAAAGAAATAGCAGTAAGTAGAAATAGCAGTAAGTAGAAATAGCAAGGTATACTTGTTATCCCGTGTATTTATGAGACAGAAAAAAGACACCAGCAATCTTACCATGATGTAAAACAGCTACAGATTTCCGTCGTACACTCACTTAGCAGGATGGTAGTACTTCTCTGGGTGGCTGTTGTCTACTAACCTACTACCACAGGACAGTATTACCTCCCTGGGTGGTTGCTGTCTACTAACCTACTACCACAGGACAGTATTACCTCCCTGGGTGGTTGCTGTCTACTAACCTACTACCACAGGACGTTATTACCTCCCTGGGTGGTTGCTATCTACCAACCTACTACCACAGGACAGTATTACCTCCCTGGGTGGTTGCTATCTACCAACCTACTACCACAGGACAGTATTACCTCCCTGGGTGGTTGCTGTCTACTAACCTACTACCACAGGACAGTATTACCTCCCTGGGTGGTTGCTATCTACCAACCTACTACCACAGGACAGTATTACCTCCCTGGGTGGTTGCTGTCTACCAACCTACTACCACAGGACGTTATTACCTCCCTGGGTGGTTGTTGTCTACTAACCTACTACCACAAGACAGTATTATCTCCCTGGGTGGTTGCTGTCTACTAACCTACTACCACAAGACAGTATTATCTCCCTGGGTGGTTGCTGTCTACTAACCTACTATCACAGGATGTTATTACCTCCCTGGGTGGTTGCTGTCTACTAACCTACTACCACAGGACATTATTACCTCCCTGGGTGGTTGCTGTCTACTAACCTACTACCACAGGACAGTATTATCTCCCTGGGTGGTTGCTGTCTACTAACCTACTACCACAGGACGTTATTACCTCCCTGGGTGGTTGCTGTCTACTAACCTACTACCACAGGACAGCATTATCTCCCTGGGTGGTTGCTGTCTACTAACCTACTACCACAGGACGGTATTACCTCCCTGGGTGGTTGCTGTCTGCTAACCTACTACCACAGGACAGTATTACCTCCCTGGGTGGTTGCTATCTACTAACCTACTACCACAGGATGGTAGTACCTCCCTGGGTGGTTGCTGTCTGCTAACCTACTACCACAGGACAGTATTACCTCCCTGGGTGGTTGCTATCTACTAACCTACTACCACAGGATGGTAGTACCTCCCTGGGTGGTTGCTATCTACTAACCTACTACCACAGGATGGTAGTACCTCCCTGGGTGGTTGCTGTCTACCAACCTAGTACCACAGGATGGTAGTACCTCCCTGGGTGGTTGCTGTCTACCAACCTACTACCACAGGATGGTAGTACCACTCTGGGTGGTTGCTGTCTACCAACCTACTACCACAGGATGGTAGTACCTCCCTGGGTGGTTGCTGTCTACCAACCTACTACCACAGGATGGTAGTACCTCCCTGGGTGGTTGCTGTCTACCAACCTACTACCACAGGACGGTAGTACCTCCCTGGGTGGTTGCTGTCTACCAACCTACTACCACAGGATGGTATTACCTCCCTGGGTGGCTGCTGTCTACCAACCTACTACCACAGGATGGTATTACCTCCCTGGGTGGCTGCTGTCTACCAACCTACTACCACAGGATGGTATTACTTCCCTGGGTGGTTGCTGTCTACCAACCTACTACCACAGGATGGTATTACCTCCCTGGGTGGTTGCTGTCTACCAACCTACTACCACAGGATGGTAGTACCTCCCTGGGTGGCTGCTGTCTACCAACCTACTACCACAGGATGGTATTACTTCCCTGGGTGGTTGCTGTCTACCAACCTACTACCACAGGATGGTATTACCTCCCTGGGTGGTTGCTGTCTACCAACCTACTACCACAGGATGGTATTACCTCCCTGGGTGGTTGCTGTCTACCAACCTACTACCACAGGATGGTATTACCTCCCTGGGTGGTTGCTGTCTACCAACCTACTACCACAGGATGGTATTACCTCCCTGGGTGGCTGCTGTCTACCAACCTACTACCACAGGATGGTATTACCTCCCTGGGTGGCTGCTGTCTACCAACCTACTACCACAGGATGGTATTACTTCCCTGGGTGGCTGCTGTCTACCAACCTACTACCACAGGATGGTATTACCTCCCAGGGTAGCTACTGTCTACCAACCTACTACCACAGGATGGTATTACCTCCCTGGGTGGCTGCTGTCTACCAACCTACTACCACAGGATGTATTACCTCCCTGGGTGGCTGCTGTCTACCAACCTACTACCACAGGATGGTATTACCTCCCTGGGTGGCTGCTGTCTACCAACCTACTACCACAGGATGGTATTACCTCCCTGGGTGGCTGCTGTCTACCAACCTACTACCACAGGATGGTAGTACCTCCCTGGATGGCTGCTGTCTACCAACCTACTACCACAGGATGGTATTACCTCCCTGGGTGGCTGCTGTCTACCAACATACTACCACAGGATGGTATTACCTCCCTGGGTGGCTGCTGTCTACCAACCTACTACCACAGGATGGTATTACCTCCCTGGGTGGCTGCTGTCTACCAATCTACTACCAGAGGATGGTAGTACCTCCCTGGGTGGCTGCTGTCTACCAACCTACTACCACAGGATGGTATTACCTCCCTGGGTGGCTGCTGTCTACCAACCTACTACCACAGGATGGTAGTACCTCCCTGGGTGGCTGCTGTCTACCAACCTACTACCACAGGATGGTATTACCTCCCTGGGTGGCTGCTGTCTACCAACCTACTACCACAGGATGGTATTACCTCCCTGGGTGGCTGCTGTCTACCAACCTACTACCACAGGATGGTATTACCTCCCTGGGTGGCTGCTGTCTACCAACCTACTACCACAGGATGGTAGTACCTCCCTGGGTGGCTGCTGTCTACCAACCTACTACCACAGGATGGTATTACCTCCCTGGGTGGCTGCTGTCTACCAACCTACTACCACAGGATGGTAGTACCTCCCTGGGTGGCTGCTGTCTACCAACCTGCTACCTAGCCTCACATACATGTAACCATAATTTAGTTATACGGCTGCCCAAAATGATATGCATATCTAGGGGCTTTCTATATACTAGTAATTTATGTCAATCATCCAAATTGTATAATAAACTGTATTCCACATTATTGAAATAAAGTTTGTATTTCTTCTTTTCTTTCTTTCAACAAACCAGCAGTATCCCACCAAGGCAGGGTGGCCCAAAAGGAAAAACGAAAGTTTCTCCTTTTATATTTAGTAACATATACAGGAGAAGGGGTTACTAGCCCCTTGCTCCTGGCATTTTAGTTGCCTCTTACAACACGCATGGCTTATGGAGGAAGAATTCTGTTCCACTTCCCCATGGAGATAAAAGGAAATAAACAAGAACTAGAACTAGAAAGAAAATAGAAGAAAACTCAAAGGGGTGTATGTATATATATGCTTGTACATGTATGTGTAGTGTGACCTAAGTGTAAGTAGAAGTAGCAAGACATATCTGAAATCTTGCATGTTTATGAGACAGACAAAAGGACACCAGCAATCCTACCATCATGTAAAACAATTACAGGCTTTCGTTTTACACTCACTTGGCAGGACAGTAGTACCTCCCTGGGCGGCTGTTGTCTACCAGCCTACTACCACAGGATGGTAGTACCTCCCTGGGCAGTTGCTGTCTACCAACCTACTACCACAGGATGGTAGTACCTCCCTGGGCAGTTGCTGTCTACCAACCTACTACCACAGGATGGTAGTACCTCCCTGGGTGGTTGCTGTCTACCAACCTACTACCACAGGATGGTAGTACCTCCCTGGGCAGTTGCTGTCTACCAACCTACTACCACAGGATGGTAGTACCTTCCTGGGTGGTTGCTGTCTACCAACCTACTACCACAGGATGGTAGTACCTCCCTGGGCAGTTGCTGTCTACCAACCTACTACCACAGGATGGTAGTACCTCCCTGGGCAGTTGTTGTCCACCAACCTACTACCATAGGATGGTAGTACCTCCCTGGGCAGTTGCTGTCTACCAACCTACTACCACAGGATGGTAGTACCTCCCTGGGTGGTTGTTGTCTACCAACCTACTACCACAGGATGGTAGTACCTCCCTGGGTGGTTGCTGTCTACCAACCTACTACCACAGGATGGTAGTACCTCCCTGGGCAGTTGCTGTCTACCAACCTACTACCTAGGAAAGTTTGTATTTGTGGGGCTAATAACCCCTTCTCCTGTATAAATTACTCAATTTAAAAAAAAATTTTTTTGTTTTTCTTTTTAGGTCACCCTGCCTTGGTCAGAGATGGTCAGCATGTTGGAAAAAATATTTAAAAAAGTTGGTAGACATACCATACACTCGGGGGAGTGAATCGCCACATGCTGAAGCCACCGTTGGAAGTGCGCCATAGCAACCCAGCCAGCTGGACAGCAAGGTAGTCGAAAGCCTCCAGTGCTTCTGACACAACCAGCTGCAGAGACAGGTTGTTGAGTGTGACCACAGGATAGAACACTAAGGTTGACAGTGGAACTGGGATGGATTGTAAATAATGACAAGGTAGAATATTGCCTCTCCACACTTACCGATGTACTCGCTTATCGACGCCTCGGACTTACGACGGGCTCTCTGACCAATATTCATAACTAAATAATGTACATTAGAGCCGATTTCCTCTATTCTGTTTATTTCAATATACAGTACACTGCTGCATAAACATTTAAAAATGTACCAGAAATATTATAAATGGTGCAAAGGTAATATTAAAACAATATCTAAGATGGTTGACACAAACTCGCTACCACTATAGTATGCTCCTCAATTAGCAACGAATTTGTTTAACGACGTGATCTCAGGAACAGAACTCCATCGTTAAGTGAGGAGAGGCTGTATATGAAACTTGAATACAGCGTATATCTTAATTAATGATAATACAACATAAGAGAGGGGGTAAAGGAGGTTTTGTGGGCGAGGGGCTTGGACTTCCAACAAGCGTGCATGAGCGTGTTAGATAGGAGTGGAGACGAATGGTATTTGGGACCTGACGATCTGTTGGAGTGTGAGCAGGGTAATATTTAGTGAAGGGATTCAGGGAAACTGGTTATTTCCATATAGTTGGACTTGAGTCCTGGAAATGGGAAGTACAATGCCTGCACTTTAAAGGAGAGGTTTGGGATATTGGCAGTTTGGAGGGATATGTTGTGTATCTTTATATGTATATGCTTCTAAACTGTTGTATTCTGAGCACCTCTGCAAAAACAGTGATAATGTGTGAGTGTGGTGAAAGTGTTGAATGATGATGAAAGTATTTTCTTTTTGGGGATTTTCTTTCTTTTTGAGTCACCCTGCCTCGGTGGGAGACGGCCGACTTGTTGAAAAAAAAAAAAAAATTCTTCAGTGGGCCTGGTCACAGACCGGGCCGCGGGGGCGTTGACCCCCGAAACTCTCTCCAGGTAAACTCCAGGATATGGCTGGTTTGTTGAACGATGAAGAAGAATACATTTTTTATTTCTTTATTTTTTTTTTTTTAACAAACAGGCCATGTCACACTGAGGCAGGGTGACCCAAAAAGAAAAACAAAAGTTTTCCTTTTTACACTCAATAATTTATACAGGAAAAGGGGTTACTAGCCCTTTGCTCCTGGCATTTTAGTCGCTTCTTATGATATGCATGGCTTATGGAGGAAGAATTCTTTTCTACTTCCACTGTTGGCATGTTAAAAAAATGAAAAGGAATATTGAGTAGGTGAGTAAATAAAGGTCCTTCTCTGCTTACAATATTTCAACCTTGTAAGAGCACAAAAGTAATTACTTTGGAGATGAAATTTAAAATAATTATCCAGCATGAAGGCAGCAAGTCCATAACTTGTATTCATTTATTTTTCAATACTGGTACTATTTAGTTACAGTAATTATTTATTTACTTATTCAGCAACATTATTTATTTACCTATTTATTGGCAGTTTGGAGGGATATGTTGTGTATCTTTATACATATATACTTCTAAACTGTTGTTTTCTGAGCACCTCTGCAAAAACAGTGATAATGTGTGAGTGTGGTGAGAGTGTTGAATGATGATGAAAGTATTTTCTTTTGGGGGATTTCCTTTCTTTTTGGGTTACCCTGCCTCGGTGGGAGATGGCCGACTTGTTAAAAAAAAAAAATTACGTTCGTACTCGTCTTCCGATGGGTTTGCCAGAGAAAATTCCTGTATGGACAGGTGCTTCTTGACTTATGATGGGCGCTATGTTCCGACAGCCCATCATAAGTCAAAAATTTATCATAAGCCAAACTATCATAAGTCAAGAAACATCTGTATACAGTACCTGGTTTGTGAGTCTGAGGTAGTGAAGGGTCCAGAGTTTTTGCTCCGAAGTTAAAGGGCCACACCGTCAGTGCCCTGAAGTATTCTGCACCAAATACCTGGGGAGTGCTCCACAGAGAGCCTTCCAATGTTGGTCCAAACACATCACCTTAAAATATTTAGGCATTTCAAGGATTTTGATGCATTCCAGTAGCTTAAATACTCTATAAAGGCAAAGGTTACATTTCCAAAATCTGATATCTATTTAGAGCTATTGTTAACCCTTTGAGGGTTTTGGTCGTACTAGTACGTCTTACGCGTAGGGGGTTTTGACGTACTAGTACGCATAAATTCTAGCGGCCTCAAATCTCGCAGGAAAGGCTGATAAGCCTAGATGTGAGAGAATGGGTCTGTGTGGTGGGTTGCGCAGTAGGAAAAAAATCGGGCACCCAGTGGTGCATTGTGGAATGCCATCATAGTACACAATTTCCACCGTGCCCTGCGGTAAGAAGTTCCTCACTCCTCCGGCGAATTGGGACACTTTTGTTCCCCAGTGACATTTTCTAATACAGATGGAAGTGACAGTGAAGATGAGTTTCAAGGTTCTGGTGAGGTTTTGACCGAAACTAATGACCATAATATGGGAAATAGTGAGGAAAACCCAGACAACCCACACCCTTCCACCTTGGTGCTGGGCCGTGGTTCAGTTGTACCAGAATCAAAGAGGAAACTCCTTTTTTCCCAAAAATCCCAGACTCAGATGTGAGCATTGGTGATGATAATGATAGTGATTATGAACTACAAGCTCTTCAAACTTGTTCCAAGAAGGGGAGGAGGAGGAGGAGGCAGAGGAGGAGGAGGCAGAGGAGGAGGAGAAAGAGGAGGAGGGGGCAAGGAGGAGGAGGAGGAGGAGGAGGGGGAGGAGGAGGAGGAGGAGAGGAGGAGGAAGAAGAAGAGGAGGAGGGAGGAGGAAGAAGAAGAGGAGGAGGAGGAGGAAGAAGAGGAGGAGGAGGAGGAGGAGGAGGGAGGAGGAGGAAGAGGAGGAGGAGGAGGAAGAAGAAGAATACGTAATGTTAACAATAATACATAATAATAATACATAATAATAATAATACATAATAATAATAATACATAATAATAATAATACATAATAATAATAATAGGTAATAATAATAATATGTAATAATAAAGTTCACCCATGACAGAAAACAGATAAGGGGAGATAACATCTGAAAAGTGCTGACGTTTGATGAGGGTAAATGAGGGTAAGCTGATGCCAAAAGATGAGATGAACATCGCCCTCCCTTTGTTTTTGCTGGTATACTAACATTTCTGTCTGTCTATTTGCCTGTCTGTCAAGCTCCCTGTCTATCCATCTAGCTCTCTGTCTCAGAGAGCCACAAGACTGCGTCATCATTTTTTACTCACATTTTCAGCAGAGTATAGCACTTTGTCTGGGTTTCTTGGGTTTTTTCCTAGGTTATTTATAACTATGTATACTTGTATTTATGTGTACCTGTGAGACAGAGATAGACAGACAGATAGAATGAGGGAGAAAGATAATTAGATAGAATGGAGGAGGGGAAGCAGCATCCCCCACCCCATTGTTTTGAAAAGGCCGGAGGGGGAAAGAGTAATGGGGCCAATATGTCACTTTGACAGCTGCCGACTCCTTGGGAATTTACACTATGGACGAGGAGGGGAAGGAAATAGGGGGAAGAGGAAGAAGAGGAGGAGGAGGAAGAGTAGGGGGAAGAGGAATAGTAGGAGAAATTAGGGGGAAGAGGAGGAAGAGGAAGAAGAGGAGGGGGGAGAAGAGTAGGAGGAAGAGGAAGAAAAGGAGGAGGAGGAAGGAGGAGGAGGAAGAGGAAGAGTAGGAGGAAGAGGAAGAGGAGGAAGAGGAAGAGTATGAGGAAGGTAGGGGGAAGAGGAGGAAGAGTAGGGGAAGAGGAGGAAGAGGAAGAAGAGGAGGGAGGAGGGTGGAACACTAGTACACTGGTTACTGGTACACTAACATTTCTGTCTGTCTATTTGTCTGTCTGTCAAGCTCCCTGTCTATCTGTCTATCCGTCTAGCTCTCTGTCTCAGAGAGCCACAAGACTGTGTCATCACTTTTACCCCACATCTTCAAGCAGAGTATAGCACTTTGTCTGGATTTCTTTGGGGTTTTCCTAGGAAATTTATATATGTATACTTGTATTTATGTGTACCTGTGAGACAGAGATAGACAGACAGATAGAAAGAGAGAGAAAAGATTGAAAGAGATAGAATGAGGGAAAAAAGATTTAAAAAACCATTGTGTATGACACCATGTTTTTTGAGTTCCACAGCTGCAGAACTAATAGAATATGTTCAGTGACTGTATATTGGTAAAATATATTATAGAACAATAATAATAAAAAATGTTTTGTATTGTTTGTTTTTGTAAACAAGTTTTGTAAACAATATATTGATAATTATGTTTGTGTGCTTATTGTTTTATACAACGAGTGTATATATGTACATTGCACCTTACTTTGGTCTCATAGGCCACATAAGTTATGTGAAAAAATAAAATAGTGAAAAAACAACAAACCTTCAAATACAAGTAAATCAAAGTTTACGCGGGTGAGCGGCAGTCGCCGCTGTTGCCATCGTGGCTCATTTTCTGCAAAATTCATGCATCCATATCTCCGTAAGTATTGATGGTAAAATTTTTTTGTTTATCCTATAATGTTTTGAAAAAAAAAATCTATTTTTTCATAAGAAAAAATAATTTTTTTTTTTTTTGAAATTTGGCCGACCCTGAGAACGAGTTTCGGAGAGGGACTGTCGACCCTCAAAGGGTTAATAAACATCTGATCTTGCAAATGTAATTAAACCAACACTATGCTATTCTAAACTTAACCAGCTCATCTAACTCTGTCAGAGTTCTTCTAGTCTTCCTCAAACTCCCACAGAAAATTAACTGCTCATCTTGTTCCATTATACTCATGATGAAACTAACTTTCCCATATAATAATAACAATAATAATAATATAATTATAATAAAAATAAAATAATGATATACCAGTGGACCCTCGACCAACGATGGCATCAATTAAAGATAAATCCGACTAGCGATACATTTTAAAAAAGCAAAATTTTGCCTCGACTACGATAAAAAAAACTCAACCAAACTATTCTTCCAACTGAGATTCGTCCACTTCTGGCCAGTGTTTACAAGGCCACCAGCCACCGTGGTTCGCTTCCAAGCATACAATCCGGAACATTTCATATTATCACAGCCTTTTTAGTGATTGCACCTGCAAAATAAGTCACCATGGGCCCAAGAAAGCTTTAGTGCCAACCCTACAGCAAAAAGGGTGAGAATTACTATGGATATGAAAAAGAGAAACATTGCTAAGTATGAAATTGGAGTGCGTGTCTTCCCAGCTGGCTAGGTTGTACACAAAACCCCCAAACAACCATCGCTACTATTTTGGGCAAGAAAACAGCAATCAAGGAAGCTGTTCTTGCCAAAGGTGCAACTATGTTACGAAAAATGAGATCGCAAGTACTCGAAGATGTTGGGGAGACTGTTATTGGGGTGGAAAAACAAAAAACAGATAGCAGGAGACAGCATCTCTCAAGCGATCATATGTGAAAAGGCTAGGAAGTTGCCTTTACGATTTAATTAAAAAAATGCCAACAACTAGTGGTGATGTGAGTGAATTTAAGGCCAGCAAAGGTTGGTTTGAGAGATTTAAAGGGAAGGGAAATAACCCCAGAAAAGGACTTGCCACCTCAAGTCCTAATGGAAGGGGATTCTCCTTCTAAACACTAAGACCATCAACACTCTCCCCTCCTCCCATCCCATCAATCATCACCAGATCTTCAATAAAGGTAAGTGTCATGTAACTGTGCATGTCTTCTTCAGTTTGTGTGTATTAAAATTAATATTTCATGTGGTAAAAACAATTTTTTTTTTCATACTTTGGGGTGTCCTACACGGATTAATTTTTTTTTCCATTATTTCTTATGGGGAAAATTAACTTGACTAACGATAATTTTGACTAACGATGAGCTCTCAGGAACGGATTAATAGCGTTAGTCGAGGGTCCACTGTAATAATAATAATAATACTGATAACAATAATAATAAGTTTATTTCACCATGATAAAATGTTTATACAAAGTGAATGACATTTGGGTGAGCATGCGAAGAGCCCTATACATGTATGTGCAGAACATTTCGGGCAAACTTAAGACTAACATAACATTAATAAGGCAATAACAATATGAGTAATTTTGTGCATACAGTCACTAGGATGAGTGTATGTATAAATTTATGAGGTTACAATGAATACAAGATAATTAAATCTTCACTATTTCTTTCAACTGTGCCATATATTTATGAAATCCCACTTGAGTGATGATCACCGCATCAGTCTGAAGTATTAACGAATATTTAAAATTGCATTATTGTTCATTTAGCAGTCTCTCTTTTTGTACATTTAAAAATCCTTACTTAACCCTATCAGGGTCCGTGCCGTAGATCTACGGCTTTACGTTCAGGGTCCAAACCGTAGATCTATGCCATGAGCTCAGCTCACTCTGATAAGCTGTGAGTGGTAAATTTGGGCCTAGATATGAGAGAATACATCTATGTGGTATGTGTGCACCACATAAAACAAATCCTGCAGCACACAGTGTATAACGAGAGGAAAAAAACTGAGACCGTGATTTTCGATTAAAACAGCGACTTTGCAGTGTTTTTTCGTATTTTTTTTATAGTTGTATTTGCAATTTCTTGGTCTCATTTGATATAATGGAAGATATAATTCAGAAGTAGAGATCATCTTGATTGGTTTTAGCACTGGAAATGGCTTGAAACTGAGCTCAAAGTAGCGGAAATGTTAAATTTTTGCCGATGTTCAAGAGTTAACAAACGACCTCACACGTCTAATACACGCCAGCTGGTGGGTCTAATATACATTCACAAATGTGGTGATGATATTTATACAATTATTACAATATTGTATAACAGTAAATCTTCCATTTTTTGGTTTGAATAAAAATTCATTGTTAATAAAAGATCAAAATGAAATTCATTTGTAAAGCCTCAACATGTAACTAATGAAGAGAGGAAATGTTAGTTTAGTGCCAGGAATACCTACATTGTTTATTCTGGACCCTATTTTAAAACTGGAATATTTTTAACTTTGTGTAAAATTGGCCAAATTACCAATTTCCGATCACTTTATTTTGTAGTTGAAACAGTTGACTTGTCGATTTCTTGTGCTCAATCGATAGAATAGAAGTAATACTAGTGAAATAGCTATGAATTTGGTAGACTGGAATAATGTAATTGGCTTAAAATGGGAGTCAAAGTCGGCAAAATCGCCGATTCGTAAATATCACTGACACATCAAAATTCGCGAGAGCATAATTTCGTCAATTTTCCATCAAATTTCGTACTTTTTGTTTTATTACCTTCAGAAAAAGATTCTCTACCATTTCATAAGAAAAAATAAATTTTGGGGGGGAAAATTCTTGGACACTGGTGCACACTTTGAAATTTGGCCTCTGGACCCTGAAGGGGTTAATTACCCATGTCTTGCTCTTAAGTAGTCTTTAATTGTACGTACTAACTGTATTACCTCATATTAATAACAGAGTAAACAAACTTAATTACAAACGTAAAAATGGATGTTTGTATTGTAAATTGTACTACCTCGTATTAATAATAGAGTAAAATACTGAATACAGGTACCATCCGACTTACGACCGAGTTCGGTTCCAACAAACCAGTCGTAAGTCGAAATGGACGTAAGTCGAACCTTACTACTGAATATCAACATCACATTTTTGTAATGACTTTATTTCATTGTTTTATTTTGGTATTGCATTTTTTACTTTACATTTTATGCTGTTAGTACTGTATTTTATACTGTAAGGTTTAGGATAAACACTGTGTACAACACAAACAGTTGTTTATTTCCCAAAAGTTTGGCATAGAAAACACGGTCGTAAGTCGAATGGTCGTATGTCGAGCAGGTCATAAGTCAGATGGTAGGTGTATTTGTATTCTACCACTCTTCACCTGTCTAGACTTAAATATACTATAAGTACAGTGGACCCCCGCTTAACGATCACCTCCAAATGCGACCAATTATGTAAGTGTATTTATGTAAGTGCGTTTGTACGTGTATGTTTGGAGGTCTGAAATGGACTAATCTACTTCACAATATTCCTTATGGTAAAAAATTCGGTCAGTACTGGCACCTGAACATACTACTGGAATGAAAAAAGTTTGTTAACCGGGGGTCCACTGTATTAGCTTAAGTCTGCCCGAAATGCCTCGGCATGATTGTGGCTTTCTTTGTACCAATCAAATTATTAAATGTAAACATACATTGTAACCTCAGCAAAGAAACAAAATTTTATGTATTATTTTAGTACGTATTAGTGTGCCTGTAATGCACCACATGCTAGTGGCTTTCTTTTGTACTTAACAATACAGTGGTACCTTGGCATACTAACAGCTCCTAACTTGAACAATTGTGTAAATGTATTTTTGTAAGTGTTTTTGTAAGTGTATGTTTGGGGGTCTGAAATGGATTAATCTAATTTACATTATTCCTTATGGGAACAAATTCGTTCAGTATCGGCACTCGAACAGCCTTCTGGAACAAATTATGTTAGTAACAATGTAACAGTGTATGTTAGTAACCTGAGGTACCACTGTATTTTATTACATGTAAATTATATTATCTGTATACTGCAAAAAAAGAAAAAAATATTTGTATTTATATTTGAAGAGAGGTGTGAGCACAAGACAATATTCTACATTAATTTATGTGGTATTTAGGGAAAATATGGAAAGCAGCCATAAGAAAGAACAAAAAAAATTAAAAGGAAATGAAAAAAGGCAGGAAAATAAGAGGTGGATGATGAAAACAAGAAATTTTTTTTTTGTTAAATAAGCCGTCTCTTACCGAGGTAGAGTGACCCGAAGAAGAAGAAATATTTTCACCATCACTCACTCCATTACTGTCTTGCCAGAGGGGACCTGATACAGGTCAAGCATCACTAATCTGGCATCTTTGGGACCCGTGGGGTGACGGATTAATGATTTTGCCAGATCACAGAGTGGTTAGGTTAGAATACACTTAACCCAACAAAAGAAATTTGAAATTATGCTGGCTGAAATTTGTGCTGGATTAGTGATTGCCGGATCAGTGATGGATGACCTGTGCTATAATTCAAAACTCCAAATATCCCCACCTGTCCTTCAAAGTTCAGGCACTGTACAAAATACTAAAGAACTGATGTGAATAAATGCCAGACTTGAGTCCTGGAGGAGGGAAGTAGAGTGTCTGCACTCTGAAGAAAGGATTTGGGATAACTGATGTTTGGAGGAACATCTGAACTGTCATATCTGCACACCTCTGGCAAGACAGTGTGCTATAAAAAATAAATTTTCTTACCTGCTATAGAGATCCTGGCAGCTGGGGAGCCATATAAGAACCGTCTAATAATACTGAGAGGGATGATTGGGCTCTCGTCAACAGCAACATCTAGAAAATCATACACTAGGGCACGGTTTCTCAAGTCCAGCAGCATTGATGTGTGCTTCCTCACTGGCACACCCTCAGGCTTCAAGAAAAAAGTGTGTAACTAAATGAGCAAGGTAGTCATGGAACAGGTAGATCTTGAACTCATTGGCAATTAGGTTCTAAAACTCACAGGTCAGTGTGTTAACCTCTTGACCAGCTGGCTCGTTAAGACACTGGTTTGTGGGTTTTAAGAATCTCCTAAGATAAGCTAAGATTTTGTTTGGATTTTTAACCCTGAAGGGTTAGCCACCCAGGATAACCCAAGAAAGTCAGTGCATGATAGAAAGACTGTCTGTCTTATTTCCAGTGTGGTCCTTCAATCTTGTCTGCAGGATGCCAACCACACCAGTCCACTAACACCCAGGTACCTACATGTACTGACTTGTTAGGTGAACAGTGACAGCAGGTGTAAGGAAACACACCCAATGTTTCCATCTGGCCGGGGATTGAACCACAGACACTCATTGTGTGAGGTGAGAGTGTTGCCTACTAGGCCATGGGACTACCAGGCCATGGGACTACCAGGCCATGGGACTACCAGGCCACAGGACTACCAGGCCTGGGTTCAAGCCCCACCAGTTCCGTGATTTGCTTGCAATAGTCTTATTACAATCTCTTAAGTCATGAGCAAGAAATCCCACAGGAGGCAAAATTAAAGAAAAATGGTAATCTGTATATTTCTACCTTCGGTTGAGGTCCTCGTCAACAGAATGTAAAAGAACAAGTAGAGTGCTCAAGTATTTATACTGATAGGAAGAGTAGAGGATGAGTTTCTTGGGTCATCGAGGTGCTTCATGACTTCTTAACATGGCTAACCTTTTTCACTAAAATCCTCACCTTAAATCACTAACAAGCAGATCTGCCACGCATAAATATGGTTTTCACTCAAATTCTCACCTTAACCTCTATTTCCATGACCTCGGTGTCCCTGCGAAACTGAGAGACAGCTTCCACCGTCACTTCCATCATTCCTGACTGACGTATAACAGCGAGAGGCAGGACCACTTCCTGCAGCCCCTCGCCAGGGATCTGTCAGAAAAATATTTTATAGCTAATGTTTAGTGTTCTTTTACAACCTCATTTTCTTGAAGAGGCTGAGGGACTGATTACCTCAAACTCTTCTTCTTCCATCATTCATCTCTGTACTGGAATGAGGGAGCCACTTGCTGGCAAAACATTTCCACAAATGCTGCAAAAGTGTATAACTCTTCAACGTGTCTGTTTTCTCAACCATTTACAACAGAGACAAATAGATGTAGAGAGAGTAACCAGTGATGACTTAGTTCTCCTGAGAAAGATGACACGAGATGAAGTACGATCAGCATCTAGTGTGATCAGTGATGGACATATGGCCAATGTTGAGATACATTTTGGGCCTTGCATAATAGAAAAAATATATGAAATGCAGCCAATTTTGCCTAGTGATGTGAAACATTATTTTTGTTATCCATCGTGAAGTTAGGAGATGCTTACCCAAACAAGATGAAAAAATTTTGTAGAACAAAAGGGCTAGAAATACTGTATTATAAACAGTACATAAGGAATCTAAAAATACTTCACAGAAAAAAAGGAACTGCACTCTAATGAAAGGATTGATGATGCTGCAGTTTAGAGGGTCATCTGAACTGTCCTGTCAGCATGCTTCTGGCAAGACAGTGATTGAGTGAATGATGGTGAATGCAATTTCCTATTTTTCGGTCACTCTACCTCACTGGGAGATGGATGGTGAGTTAAAATTTTTTTTTTTTATAGAATGCCAGAGTAGCACAACCAAGCTGAAATTTGTAAAACTTACAAAGAGGAGGTGTTGGTGCTCGCCACGAGACAGTCTGGGATGAAAATGCTGTACATCACCATCTTTCTCAACGTGGACAAACATGTAGTCATCACTGTCGTGGAGGAGGAGCACCGCCTGAATGGTCGTACTCAGCATGTTGTAGAGAAGCACTCGTATTGAGATCTGTCAATACACTGATGATCAGATATGTCTGATGGTGTGGCAAGCACATACACTCAGAAGGAATAAAAAAGCCCAATACTGTGACTGAAATGATACATAAATAACCTGCATGCAGGAGAAAGATCCTTAAGATGACATTTCAGTCCAATTATTCCTAAATTTGTTATGACCCCTTAGAGAACGTATATATAAGCAATCAATTAGTTATTGCCTTATTAGTCTTAAGATACACTTAAGTTTGCAGAAAATGATCTGCATACTAAGGGGCTTTCTGCATGCACACCTAACTGTTACCCATCTCTGTACAAATGCTCTATTATTCTGAAATAAATTGAAATTGAAACTGATTTGGATCACTAACATAGTCCAATTCAGACCGAAACATCACTATAAGTTTTTTCTCCTATATCCCAGCTATTGGTGTACAAATTCAAATTCAAATTCAAATTCAAAGTTTATTCTCTATAAGGATTACAATGCTGAGTTTACAGAATTTGGTTATTGTATTGTTTACATGTAGTAAAATAATAATTACAGAGTGTACCACTAGAACACCTAGCATGGCTAGGCATTTCGGGCAGACTTAAATTAAATCTTAAGTTTAAAATATTACAAAATTATGAGGTAAGTTGGTATTATGGCTAAGTGACTAAATACTAGTTTGTGAGTTTAGCAATGTGAATGCTTTTGTTTTGGCACTATACATAGTTTCAGTATTGGAGTATCACAGGCCAACTTATGACTAGTTAAGATTCATTATTTTGAGATTGAGATTGATATTTCTGTTTATGGTCAAATGGGTGGGTGAGTGTAAGTGTTAACCACCAGGTGGTATTCGTGTAATTAGTTGATAGGGGTTGTATCAGGAGATAAGATGTTTTTGATGGTAGTTTTGAAGGTGACGAATGTGTCTCAGTTTTAGAATTTTCAGGTAGGGTGTTCCAGATTTTAGGGCCTTTGACATACATTGAATTTTTGTAAAGGTTTAGTCGGACACGGGGAATGTCATAGAGATGTTTGTGTCTGGTATTGTGCCTGTGGGTTCTGTCGCAACTATCAAGAAAGCGTTTTAGGTCAAGGTTAATATTGGAATTTAAGGTCCTGTAGATGTAGATTGCACAGTAGTAAGTGTGGATGTACTGAACAGGAAGTAAGTTTAGATCTATGAAGAGTGGGAAGGGTGTTGCCAGGGATGGGATTTAGTGATTATTCTTACTGGACTCATAATGTAAACTGTCAAAATACAGTGGAACCTCGGCACTTGAACTTAATTGGTTCCAGAAGACTGTTCGAGTGCTGAGATGTTTGAGTACCTGGAGTTTACCTGGAGAGAGTTTCGGGGGTCAACGCCCCCGCGGCCCGGTCTGTGACCAGGCCTCCTGGTGGATCAGCGCCTGATCAACCAGGCTGTTGCTGCTGGCTGCACGCAAACCAACGTATGAGCCACAGCCCGGCTGATCAGGAACTGACTTTAGGTGCTTGTCCAGTGCCAGCTTGAAGACTGCCAGGGGTCTGTTGGTAATCCCCCTTATGTGTGCTGGGAGGCAGTTGAACAGTCTCGGGCCCCTGACCTTATTGTATGGTCTCTTAACGTGCTAGTGACACCCCTGCTTTTCATTGGGGGGGATGGTGCATGTCTGCCAAGTCTTTTGCTTTCGTAGTGAGTGATTTTCGTGTGCAAGTTCGGTACTAGTCCCTTTTAGGATTTTCCGGGTGTTATAATCATGTATCTCTCCGCCTGCTTTTCCAGGGAATACAGGTTTAGGAACCTCAAGCGCTCCAGTAATTGAGGTGTTTTATCTCCGTATGCGCGCCGTGAAAGTTCTCTGTACATTTTCTAGGTCGGCAATTTCACCTGCCTTGAAAGGTGCTGTTAGAGTGCAGCAATATTCCAGCCTAGATAGAACAAGTGACCTGAAGATGTCATCATGGGCTTGGCCTCCCTAGTTTTGAAGGTTCTCATTATCCATCCGTCATTTTTCTAGCAGATGCGATTGATACAATGTTATGGTCCTTGAAGGTGAGATCCTCCGACATAATCACTCCCAGGTCTTGACGTTGGTGTTTCGCTCTATTTCGTGGCCAGAATTTGTTTTCGTACTCTGATGAAGATTTAATTTCCTCATGTTTACCATATCTGAGTAATTGAAATTTCTCATCGTTGAACTTCATATTGTTTTCTGCACCCCACTGAAAGATTTGGGTTTGGGATGTCTGCTGGAGCCTTGCAGTGTCTGCAATGGAAGACACTGTCATGCAGATTCGGGTGTTTATCTCAAAGGAAGACACGGTGCTGTGGCTGACATCCTTGTCTATGTCGGATATGAGGATGGGAACAAGATGGGAGCTAGTACTGTGCCTTGTGGAACAGAGCTTTTCACCGTACTGCCTCGACTTACTCTGTTGACGACTACTCTCTGTGTTCTGTTAGTGAGGAAATTATAGATCCATCGACCGACTTTTTCCCGTTATTCCTTTAGCGCGCATTTGTGCGCTATTACGCCATAGTCACACTTGTCGAAGGCTTTTGCAAAGTCTGTATATATTACATCTGCATTCTTTTTTGTCTTCTAGTGCATTTAGGACCTTGTCGTAGTGATCCCGTAGTTGAGACAGACAGGAGCGACCTGTTCTAAAACCCATGTTGCCCTGGGGTTTTGTAAACTGATGGGTTTCTAGATGGGTGGTGATCTTGCTTCTTAGGACCCTTTCAAAGATTTTATGATATGGGATGTTAGTGCTATTGGTCTGTAGTTTTTTTGCTGTTGCTTTACTGCCCCCTTTGTGGGAGTGGGGCTATGTCTGTTGTTTTTAGTAACTGAGGGACGACCCCCGTGTCCATGCTCCCCTCCATAGGATGGAAAAGGCTCGTGATGGGGCTTCTTGCAGTTCTTTATGAACACAGAGTTCCATGAGTCTGGCCCCGGGCAGAGTGCATGGGCAGTCTTTATCGCCTGTTCGAAGTCATTTGGCGTCAGGATAACATCGGATAGGCTTGTGTTAATCAAATTTTGTGGCTCTCTCATAAAAAATTCTTTTTGATCTTCGACTCTCATCTGGTTAGCGGCTTTGCTAAAAACTGAGTCATATTGGGACTTGAGTAGCCACTTTCATTTCCTTGCTGTCATCTGTGTAGGACCCATCTTGTTTTAAGTGGGGGCCCAAATTTACTGGGCGTTGTTCTCGATTTTGATTTGGCATAGGAGAAGAAAATATTTTGGGGTTTTTCTTTCGATTTCATTTATAGCTTTTGTTCTTCCCGCGATTCCTGACTCCTAAAGGATTCTTTTAGCTTAAGTTCGATGCTTGCTATTTCTCTGACCAGTGTCTCCCTGCGCATTTCAGATATATTGACCCTTTTTAGCCGCTCTGTTATTCTTTTCCGTCGCCTGTAAAGGGAGCGCCTGTCTCTTTCTATTTTACATCTACTCCTCCTTTTTCTTAGAGGAATAAGCCTTGTGCATACATCGAGTGCCACCGAGTTATCTGTTCTAGGCTAAGTTTGGGTCTGTGTTGCTTAGTATATCTTCCCAGCTTATATCGGTTAGGACTTGGTTTACTTGGTCCCACTTTATGTTTTTGTTATTTGAAGTTGAATTTGGTGAATGCTCCCTCGTGACTAGTCTCATTTTCGGTCTGGGGCTCCTCCCCATACATGTCTGAACCTCAATTATGTTGTGATCTGAGTATATTGTTTTTGATATGGTGACTTTTCTTATCAATCATCATTGTTAGTGAATATGGGTCTAGTGTATTTCTCCAGTCTAGTGGGTCTATTATTTGCTGGTTTAAATTGAATTTTGTGCAGAGTTTTAAAAAGCTCGTGTGGAGTGTGAGTTTTCATCAGAGCTGCCTCCTGGGTTATTACCGCAACAATATTATTTTGCTATATTCCTCCATTTTAGGTCCCTTTAAAGTTGAAATCCCCCAGGAGCAAGATGTTGGGTGCAGGAGCTGGAAGATTTTCCAGACAGTGGTCAATTTTTTAACAGCTGTTTCCTGGGGAAATTGCTGGGATGTTGCATCCGGAGGCTTGTAGACTACCACAATGACTAGGTTTTGGTTCTCGACCTTTACTGCTAAAACTTCCACTACGTCATTGAGGCATTAAGCAGTTCTGTGCAAACAAGTGACTCTGCAAAGTACAGGCCCAACCCCCCCCTTTTGCTGTTCACTCTGTCACATCTGTAATAGGTTGTAAACCTGGGATCCATATTTCATTGGGCCAAGTGATCCTTTATGTGGGTTTTCAGTGAAAGCCGCGAACCCTTGCCTTTGCCTCTGCAAGCAGTCCACGGATGAAAGGTATTTTGTTTTTTGTTGCTGGCTTTAGACCCTGTATATTTGCAAAGAAGAATGTTAAACGGACTGGTGGTATTGTGGTACTGGGGGGGGGGATTTTTTTCCGGCATTAGTATCTGTATCTGTTGGTTTGGAGTGGAGGCCATCGACTGTGGTTCCACTCCAGGAATGACTGGATTTGGTGTACGATTTCTGCCATTTCCTGCCAGTTTTTTTTCCTTCCTGGCACTAAAAAACCTCTCCCTCTTGAGTGGCTGTGGCTACCCAGTTTTCCCATGGCCCCGGGTGTTTTGTATCTTTTTGTCCCCTTTAGATGGTATGCCTGGCAATTTAAGTTATAGCACAGTCTTTCCTGTACTGAAGAGGTACACATTTCAGGGTGAAAAAGCTTACAGGGAAAGGGAGTTTGCATTTTCCCGTTGTCATATGGGCATGGCATTTTCTAGGGTGGTCATAGTTGCACGTCCATCTGTTTTTCCAGATTTCCCCATGCCAGCAGATACCAAGTGCATAGTATGTGCACAGGCTTGGTTTCCGCTTGCCTTGGGTTTCTGTGACTGTATCCCTGTTGGTGCATGTTTCCCTGTCTTACTTCTATCCTCCCCAGCACCAACAATGGAGCTCCCACCAGTTTTTTTTGTAATTTATCCTCACTATTGCTATTGGAGTCCTCTTGTTTTTCTATTTCCTGCGGTATTTCTAGTTTTCAATATTGGTTTTATCTTATCTTTGACTACACTTGTTTCCCTACTATGGCTCCTGTCCCCTATGAGGTCATTTATATGTATTCCTTCCTGCGTAATTCCCGATACCTGGACAAAATCTCCAGCTTCACCATTTCTGTCTCCCAGGACAGCACCTCCAGCTTCACCATTACTGTCTCCCAGGACGCACCTCCAGCTTTACTATTACGTCTCCCAGGACATCACCTCCAGCCTTACAGTTTGTGATTTACATGGCCAGTATCAAGGCAGTACCATTCAGCCCAGACTTTTTATGTTCCCATCTGTTGTAGAAAGCTTCCAGGTTTTCTATGAAGCAGCTTTGATGTTGTCCTCTTTTAATACCCTTGTGATTTTAGTCCACAGATTTTCCTCATTTGGCATACCCAGAAAACACTTCTCTGTTTTAATACTGCTTGTAGCTAGTTCTGGATATCTGCACAAGGGCGTGACACCAATTTCCACAAAAATGACAATTTATCCATGTGGAAGCCCGTTTGTTTGACTGACCACAGACTACACACAGCTTCATAATGATTTGAATGGTTGATTTACTGCAATTCTACTAGCAACCTCTTGAATATTATATTAATAACCTTAATGAAGCTCTAGCTTTTTTGTATTTCTGTTTCTAACTCTTTTTGTATATTGGACAGCTTACCGTCACGTTCCTGATTTTTAATGTTTGTGTTTATAAGGGCCCTACAACCCCATCCGTTTACAGTCTGCTTTATTGTCCAACGAAACTGTTTGAAACCAGTCCCGGGTTCGGACCAGTCAAGGGTTCGGACCAGTCAAGGGTTCGGACCAGTCAAGGGTCCGGACCAGTCGATCTGCTCTGATCAGTGGGTCACTTATTTAAAACATACGGGGTCGGTGATTGAGCTAACACATGAAGGATCTACTGGAAATTATCTACCCGAGTATTATGTATTTGACTGATACAAAAGTATAACTTGCGTGTTGAAGAGCCGGTGATATCTGGCAGCTCCTACAATGACGAACGGTCCCCTTTCCTTGTTTATCAATCGCTGTATCTGGCTTTTCTATTTTTTTTTTTTTTTTTTTTTTTTTTTCCGTCTCCACCGCAATAAATGCTATATTATCACTATAGTTGACTGGTGCAAATTTTGGAGGAAGGACGCTTTTTCTGTAGTAATAATTGCTTCTCGTTGTGTATATTGCGACCGCTGGTAACTACAGGTTATATGAAATTCACAGTAACGTCTCGTATTTCAGAGAGCAAATTTTTCCCAACCAGTTTTCTTTTTGGCTGGCTGTTATCACTAACCCTCTTAAGCCCCAGGGTGACTTATACAGATAATATAAAAAAAAAAATGAGAAGAAATGCAAAATAGCTTACAACGAAGTTCTGGCAAGTCATGTTTGTTTGGTCGAGTGCCGAGCAAATGGTCAATTACAGAGTGACTTGTTTACTGAACAAAGCATTCGAATCCCGAATTGGTTGAGTACAGAGTTGTTCAAGTACCGAGGTTCCAGTGTAATGAGTTATAGGTACCCAGTACTTGACTGTTGTGGGTCACATACAGGAAAAAACTGCTATATGTATGCACCGCATGTAAAAAAACCTCCAGTGCCTATTGTATTGGGTAAAAAAAACAAGCATTCATGCAGTGTTGGGTATCTATGTTAAAAAAATTATTGATTCTCCAAGATGTGACTCATGAAATTTTAATCACACAACTGCAACCAAACTACGGTACGGGTGGGGCTCGAACTCATGGCAATTGAGTCGTAAAATTCCATGCCAGTGCGTAAGCAGCTGGCCCAGTGGCTTATGCACTGCCCTTGAGTTTTATGACTCACTAGCTGTGAGTTCAAGCCCTAAACGTACCGTGGTTAGATTCCAAAATCTTTACAGTAGGTCCCTGATTTGAATCATCTGACTCACAAATATCTACATTTACATTTGGAACACTTTGGAATCAATTAATTACTCCCAAATGCCAATCTAAATTATGATCACTGCAAATACTGAAACAAAAGTAAGACTGTAGAAAGAACATAAGTGGGGTGTATAATAAACTACAGTAACTGCATCCCTGAGTCCCTCTATGGTACATAAAGTGCTACTGAACCATACTAAGTTTAACATGTCTTACCTGTTCACCCCTGCGACATACAGAGGGGCCTTCAACTAATATGTAGAAAGGTGGGTCACCTGTAAACTGTGTACACATGCGTGTGAAAAAGATAATATTAATACGAAATTCTTAATAATCTGGTTCTAAAGATTTAAGATACTTTTGAACAAGATGCTAAAGATTAAAGATACTCTTGAACAAGATGATAAAAATTTAAGATACTTCTGAACAAGATGCTGAAGATTTAAGATACTCTTGAACAAGATGCTGAAGATTTAAGATACTCTTGAACAAGATGCTGAAGATTTAAGATACTTTTGAACAAGATACTAAAGATTTAAGATAGTTACAAATATGGGTTGCTTGGTGAAGGAGAAACCATGCTCAGGGTGAATGGCATACCCCTCTATCACCCACAGATCTGCAGTCTTCGCTATTTCTCGCTGCAGCTCTTCCTGGCCACGGTGACCTGCATACAGTACAGATAATGGTCTTGTAAAGCATGGAGAAAGTGAAGCACATTTTGCAGACAAAACCTTCTCTAAATCAAGTTTTCTATAACTACAATTTCAATAATTTATTACATGCAATTAATTTCAATGGAAGAAATTTAGATATATTTAAGTATAGAGAATCATGAACCAAAAATTAAAATATCAAAGTATCTCTACATCACTCACATACCAATCCAGAGCTCAGCGTTACACCAACCCAGGTCATCAACGTCAAACATGTCCATAATAAAGTGAGTTCGGAACAGCCGAAAAAGCGTATCCGAGCTTAACTCCAGTGAATCTGTATGATGCAACCAATAGTCAAAGAAAAAAATGGAAAGCTTTATTAGTTCCAGAACAGAATAAATCCATTTATACAGTACAAATATATTAAAAAACTTTAAAAGACTGGGGTAGGAGCCATGAGACAACATAATAATAATAATACGTACTAATACAGCCTCTCTTCACTTAGTGATGTACAGTGGACCCCCGCATAACGATCAGCTTCCAACTCGACCAATTATGTAAGTGTATTTTTGTAAGTGCTTTTGTAGGTGTATTTTTGGGGGTCTGAAACGGACTAATCTAATTCACAATATCTCTTATGGGAACAAATTCGGTCTATAACGGCACCCAAACAGACTTCAGGATTGAAATAATATCATTATCCGGGGGTCCACTGTACTTGTTTACCGATGACTCGGACTTATGATGAGCTCTTTGACCAGCATTCATACTTAAATAATGTTAGAGCTGATTTCCTCTATTCTGTTTATTACAATATACAGTACACTACTGTATAAACATTTAAAAATATACTAAAAATGTTATAAATGGTACAAAGGTGACGTTAAAACAATATCAAAGATGGCTGACACAAACCCACTACCATTATAGTATGCTCCTCACTTACCGACTAATTCATTTACCGACGAGGTCTTAGGAACGGAACTCCGTCGTTAAGTGAGGAGAGGCTGTATATATTTTTTATTAAATTAGCTTAATAGCTGGTAGTGTCTGACAGATTAAGTGTCCCATAGCTGGGTTGCTAGCACACTCAGCTCACACACTGAGGTCCTTGGTTTGATCCCTGGTACAGGTGGAAACACAGGGCGTGCTTCCTTAAGACACCTGCTGTCTCTGTTCACCTATCAGTAAATAGGTACCTGGGTATTAGTCAAATGGCATGGGTTGCATCCTGGGGACAAAATTAACCTAAGCTGTCCAAAATGCTCTGCATAACCAGGGGCTTTCTATATAGTATGTGAATGATGTCAGCTATGTGTGTATAAGATGTATCATATGCTTTATTTTACAGCGAACAAGATGCTCCTGTATCGAGGACGCCCTCCCAGTTTTGATTGGCTAAATTTGGGGAAAAAAAAAGATAAAAGGTACTTTGGCTTCGAAGACGCTGGGTAAATTTTTTATCTTATTTTTGGGAAAAATGCCATAAAATTATTATTATTATTATAAAAAATAGTAACGACTGTCAAACAGTCTAAATTCCTCCAGATAACAGTTTTGAACTGTAATATTGATGCCTCTCTGGCAAGATAGTGATGGCATGAGTGATGGTCTAAGTGTTTCTTCTGTTTTGGGTTGCCCTACCTTAAAAAAAAAAAGAAATTGTGAATCCACTGCTGATGAAAAACACAAGTTAAACACCGAACACTTGAAGTGCGAGTCAGAAGCTCGCAAAACTATAAATATGAACAAGAGTCAGAAGTTCAACACTCACCAGTCTGTTCATCATGTTGGAGTGGGAAATCATTGTATAGCCTCTCACCTGATGGCAAAAAATAACGTATATTACATTACTGAATTTTGTCTGATGTATGAAATAAGTAAAAAGACAGAGATGGACGGGAATAAGATTGAAATCTTGAAAGCAGAAACCAAATTTTTAAATTGTTGGTACACTTATTTAATGTATATAATTCAGATTTTTATTTTTTCTATGCAGCAGACAGATAATGTAGCTTACACTAGTATGTACAGGAGGTCCCACTTTACAGCACTCCACTTCACAGTGTTTCACTAATACAGCAGTTTTCAATTATAGCCATTCTTCAATTATTCAGACTTTCTACAATATATTCACACTCGTTATAAGCTAAGGACGAAAATATTTTAAGGTAAGTAATGTGTGTAATGTATATGCATTTTTTAGGCGTAACTCTGTTGCTCACTTAATATATGATAGTGTACACATGTTATTAGGCTTTCATGTGCTTTTGAAAGTGAAAAAAAATGCTATGATTCATTTTAAAGTGTTAGCTCAGAACCTAACCTGCTGTATAAGTGGGGCTCTACAGTAGCTCAGAACCTAACCTGTTGTATAAGTGGGGCTCTACAGTAGCTCAGAACCTAACCTGTTGTATAAGTGGGGCTCTACAGTAGCTCAGAACCTAACATGCTGTATAAGTGGGGCTCTACAGTAGCTCAGAACCTAACCTGCTGTATAAGTGGGGCTCTACAGTAGCTCAGAACCTAACCTGTTGTATAAGTGGGGCTCTACAGTAGCTCAGAACCTAACCTGCTGTATAAGTGGGGCTCTACAGTAGCCTGGAACCTAACCTGCTGTATAAGTGGGGCCCTACAGTAGCCCAGAACCTAACTTGCTGTATAAGCAGGGCTCTACAGTAGCCTGGAACCTAACCTGCTGTATAAGCGGGGCTCTACAGTAGCTCAGAACCTAACCTGCTGTATAAGTGGGGCTCTACAGTAGCTCAGAACCTAACCTGCTGTATAAGTGGGGCTCTACAGTAGCTCAGAACCTAACCTGCTGTATAAGTGGGGCTCTACAGTAGCTCAGAACCTAACCTGCTGTATAAGTGGGGCTCTACAGTAGCTCAAAACCCCTAACCTGCTGTATAAGTGGGGCTCTACAGTAGCTCAGAACCTAACCTGCTGTATAAGTGGGGCTCTACAGTAGCTCAGAACCTAACTGCTGTATAAGTGGGGCTCTACAGTAGCTCAGAACCTAACCTGCTGTATAAGTGGGGCTCTACAGTAGCTCAGAACCTAACCTGCTGTATAAGTGGGGCTCTACAGTAGCTCAGAACCTAACCTGCTGTATAAGTGGCACTCTACAGTAGCTCAGAACCTAACCTGCTGTATAAGTGGGGTTCTACAGTAGCCTGGAACCTAACCTGCTGTATAAGTGGGGCTCTACAGTAGCTCAGAACCTAACCTGCTGTATAAGTGGGGCTCTACAGTAGCCCAGAACCTAACCTGCTGTATAAGTGGGGCTCTACAGTAGCCTGGAACCTAACCTGCTGTATAAGTGGGGCTCTACAGTAGCTCAGAACCTAACCTGCTGTATAAGCAGGGCTCTACAGTAGCCTAGAACCTAATCTGCTGTATAAGCAGGGTTCTACAGTAGCCCAGAACCTAACCTGCTGTATAAGCAGGGCTCTATAGTAGCCTGGAACCTAACCTGCTGTATAAGTGGGGCTCTACAGTAGCTCAGAACCTAACCTGCTGTATAAGTCGGGCTCTACAGTAGCCCAGAACCTAACCTGCTGTATAAGCAGGGCTCTACAGTAGCTCAGAACCTAACCTGCTGTATAAGCGAGGCTCTACAGTAGCTCAGAACCTAACCTGCTGTATAAGCGGGGCTCTACAGTAGCTCAGAACCTAACCTGCTGTATAAGCAGGGCTCTACAGTAGCCCAGAACCTAACCTGCTGTATAAGTGAGGCTCTACAGTAGCTCAGAACCTAACCTGCTGTATAAGCGGGGCTCTACAGTAGCCCAGAGCCTAACCTGCTGTATAAGTGGGGATCTACAGTAGCTCAGAACCTAACCTGCTGTATAAGTGGGGCTCTACAGTAGCTCAGAACCTAACCTGCTGTATAAGCAGGGCTCTACAGTAGCCCAGAACCTAACCTGCTGTATAAGTGGGGCTCTACAGTAGCCCAGAACCTAACCTGCTGTATAAGTGGGGCTCTACAGTAGCCCAGAACCTAACCTGCTGTATAAGCAGGGCTCTACAGTAGCCTGGAACCTAACCTGCTGTATAAGTGGGGCTCTACAGTAGCTCAGAACCTAACCTGCTGTATAAGTGGGGCTTTACAGTAGCTCAGAACCTAACCTGCTGTATAAGTGGGGCTCTACAGTAGCCCAGAACCTAACCTGCTGTATAAGTGGGGCCCTACAGGAGCCCAGAACCTAACCTGCTGTATAAGTGGGGCTCTACAGTAGCTCAGAACCTAACCTGCTGTATAAGTGGGGCTCTACAGTAGCCTGGAACCTAACCTGCTGTATAAGTGGGGCTCTACAGTAGCCCAGAACCTAACCTGCTGTATAAGTGGGGCCCTACAGGAGCCCAGAACCTAACCTGATGTATAAGTGGGGCTCTACAGTAGCCTGGAACCTAACCTGCTGTATAAGTGGGGCTCTACAGTAGCTCAGAACCTAACCTGCTGTATAAGTGGGGCTCTACAGTAGCCTGGAACCTAACCTGCTGTATAAGCAGGGCTCTACAGTAGCCCAGAACCTAACCTGCTGTATAAGTGGGGCTCTACAGTAGCCCAGAACCTAACCTGCTTTATAAGTGGGGCTCTACAGTAGCCCAGAACCTAACCTGCTGTATAAGCAGGGCTCTACAGTAGCCCAGAACCTAACCTGCTGTATAAGCAGGGCCCTACAGTAGGCAGAAACATAACTTGCTGTACATGCAGGGCCCTACAGTAGCCAGGATTTAACCTGCTGTATAAGTGGGGCCCTACAGTAGCCAAGAACCTAACTACCTGTATAAGCAGGGTCCTACAGTAACCTGGAACCTAACCTGCTGTGAGCAGAGCCATCCTGTAATGCATTTTGGGCAGACTAATCCTAATGCTTATATAAAAAAGAGGAAACCACAGAATGGGTGGGAACCGGAGCAATGGCAAGCAAATCCTATTACACCAGGCCATGGGTGCAATCCCCATCCATTTCCTGGTTGGTTTGCAATATTTTTATTATGATTTTGTGGTCAAAAAAAGGAAAGGTATCTAAGGACTGGCAGAGGGCAGGCATAAAGGGACAGGGGGTCAAAAGAGAGTAAGAACTGTAAGGAAATTAGTGACGGGAATTAGCTTGCCAGAAGTGCATTTACATATTAGTGTCTTTCTTTTGTCCCTAACACTGTTTTATTATATGTAAATTACATTGTTTTTGTACCACATAAAGAAATAAAAATTTGTATTTGTAAATGCATTGGGTCTATTTTGGGTCACCCTGCCTTGGTGGGTAGACAACCACTGTCTTAAAAAATGCAAGAATGATGAAGTACCAATCTGACACAATGAATCAGTGTAATATAGGATAATGTTAATAGTATGTTTAATAATGCTCTAATAGTGTAGATAATGAACTAATGTGTAACCCACAGACACTGTACATGGCTGAGTGTTCGTGGTTCGGTCCCCAGCAAGGATGGAAGCAATGGGCATTTTCCTTACACCTGTTTACCAAGCAGTAAGCAGGTACCTGGGTATTAGCAGACTGGTGTGAGTCACTTCCTGGGGGACAATGGAAATAAGACAGACAGTCCTTGACGCAGTGACTTTCTTGAGTTATCCTGGGTGGCTAACCCTCCGGATTTAAAAATCCGAACCAAATCTTATCTCTTATCTTAACAATAAAAGTACATTGCACAAACAGTATATACAGCAATGTATTTACAAGGAACAATAAAAGTAAGATTTAAACACACATAGATTGCTGTATCAAAACGTGAAGAGGACATTAAATTTTATTACTAAGTATTATAGTAACTGACGTTTGATAACTCGTTAATCTATATTCATTTCACATTAATGTGAATATAAATTACTACTTAAGATCTTAATTAGTATGAAACTGCTTAAGAAAATCCAATTAACATTAAATATACTGAAACCCTTAAAGTTATTTAAACCTTAACGTAAAATTGTACTATTACTCACTTAAAAAAAAAGTACCCACTCAATAACTATGTTAGTTTCTTAACTTGTAAACGGTGATCTAACGTTATATTAAATATGTCTTTGTCAACATTTGAAAGTATGTAAAAAAAGTTGATCTTCTTTTAGTTTTTTTACATTTGAAAATATGTAAAAAAACTTTGATCTACTTTTTTTTGTTATATTTGAAAATATGTAAAAAAAAACGTAGATCTACTTTTGTAGCGCTACACACTGTGAACGTAGATCTGCTTGGACCGTTTACGGGTTAAGTAGTCAGTAAGCATTAGTATTAGTCTGCCCAAAATGCACTGCATACTAGTGGCTTTCTTTTGTGCTTAACAATATCATATTACACGTAAACTACATTCTGTATACTGCAGAAAAGAAATAAAGTTGTAGTGTATTGTACTGTACATTTATCTTTCCACTAGGTACAGTGGACCCCCGGTTAACGAACTTTTTTCATTCCAGAAGTATGTTCAGGTGCCAGTACTGACCGAATTTATTCCCATAAGGAATATTGTGAAGTAGATTAGTCCATTTCAGACCCCCAAACATACACGTACAAACGCACTTACATAAATACACTTACATAATTGGTCGCATTTGGAGGTGATCGTTAAGCGGGGGTCCACTGTACTTAGTTAAACTGGTTGAGTTAGTGTGGCAGTGGTATTGTCTGTAGTCGAGTTAATTTAAGCATTTGTGATACCTCTTTTATGGATTTGCATTTGGAAAAGATGTCTTTCAGCCTGGGTGGTGTTTCATGGATCTTACATAGCAGATTATCAGTTATCTGGTTCATGCGGAGACAAGGGTGTGCTGGGTTTTCAAGAATATCTTATGATCATAGTTATGGAGAACAAAAAGGCACAATACTGTGACTGGAACAATACACAAATAACCTGCACATAGGAGAGAGAAAAGCTTATGACGATGTTTCGGACCGACTTGGTCCATTTACACAGTCGGACTGAAACGTTGTTGTAAACTTTTCGGTCTCCTACATGTGAATTATTTGCGTACAGTATTTATTTATGGTCTCTTTGCTTTACAAATTCATTTTCTGCATTGTTTGAAGCAATGCATCAAACAAGGACACTCGACGATGGTGGAAGCCAAATAACTAACTGCCAGATGATTAATGATCTATATACAATGATTTGTTTGAGATTATTTTCAAGACTAACTTTATTACCAAGAAAAGCAGGCAGTTTTAATTGGTTAGTTTGCTAGCTTCATTATGAATCCCATATACATCATTTGGGTTGCAGTCAAAAGAGTAGAAAGAGAGGCAGATAACTGGCTCAGAGACTGGATTCCAACATTTAGTTAGCTAAGCAATTTAGGGTCATAATGAACTACTATATACTGTAATGTAAAAAGGATATTTTGAATACTGTAAGATAGGATAGTTTGGAAAGGTCAATATTCCAGACCTTTCACAATTTCTTTGTCCATCTAATAAAACTAGCTTAAGTTTATTTGTTATTTGGATTTTTTACAACAGAAGTGTTTGCACCAGGCATTTTTTTTAAGGCTTTATATTTTATTTACTGCCGATTCTCTTTATATGTTAACTAGATTAAGTTGAAGGGAATGTTGCAACATACAGGAACCTTGAGTGTTTACTTTTTTTTTTTTTAACACACAGGTTGTCTCCCACCAAGGCAGGATGACCCAGAAATTAAATGAAAGTTTTTCTTCATATGGTAATTTATACAGAAGGGGTCACTAGCCCCTTGCTCCAGGCATTTTAGTCGCCTCTTATGACACACATGGTTTATGGAGGGAGGATTCTTCTCCACTTCTCCATGGAGCCGGTTACTAATTTATCTCCCTTAAAAGGGATGCCTTGATACTGAAGGATTCAAGGAAATGGTGCTACCTTCCCTTCACTGGATCAAACCTGATTACCTCCCATTTCCCAGGAGCCACATCACCAGTACATGTGTAGTGTATATCCATGAATATAATAACAACAATAATACAGCCTCTCCTCGCTTAGCAACGTACTCATTTACCGAACACTCGGACTTACGTCCAGCTCTCCAACCAATATGCAAACCTAAATAACGTACCGATTTCCTCTATTCTGTTTATTTTATACAATAAACTACTGTATAAACATTTAAAAATATTATAAATGATGCAAAGGTGACATTAAAAAAATATCTAAGATGGTTGACACAAACCCACTACCATTATAGTATGCTCCTTACTTAACGATCAATTCCTATACCGACCTACTCTTAGGAATGAAACCCCGTTATTAAGTGAGGAGAGGCTGTATTGTATTTCAGGTTATACATCCCTCCAAACAGTAAATATCCCAAACATCACCTTTAAAGTGCAGGCACTGTACTTCCCACCTCCAGGATTCAAGTCAGTTATAGTGTGAATGATGGTGAAAGTGTTTCTTTTTTGGGTTGCCCTAACTTGATGGGAGACAACCAGTGCACTAAAAAAAAAAATATAATGTATCTGTAACTAACTGATCACAATACCTCGGGGCAAGTCTCTGGTGCAGTCTGCATTTCTAGTATTGGACAGGGCAGCTTAGCCATAAGGAATGATGCAAATCCTGCGAGATCGTACAGACAATCTAAGTGCAATTATGAGCTGTAAACAGCATTAAGTATAAAACATATATTATGGACAGATTTTTGTGAGTAATTTGTTAAGATGCATAATATCTCATCTGTATTTTCTGTATTAATGTATTCCACAGTCATCTGAGCAGAGAGGTTATTTCACAAAATACAACAAATTATGAACTGGGAAAAAAAGAAAAACAAGAATGATATGAGAAATAATATAGGAATAAGACACATAGAGGTTAATTAGTGCAGCCCTGATTAATGAAACTTAGTGTGAGAAAGAAGTACTCACATCCCAGTTCATCAAAGGCATTGCTACAGTGGTTCCTGCCATCACACAGATGATCGTGGAGGAAGCAGGTGCCATCGCCACATTCCAAATAGCCCCGGCTGATGTCACAAGGTTTATCTGTTAAAAATATACAATATTATCCTCTGCAAACTATTAATACTCTTGTAGTCTTATACAGTAGTCCCCCTGTATCTGCAGGAAATACGTTCCGAGGACCTACCGTGGATACGTGACACCATGGATAATAGCAAACCCTATATATGTCATTTTTCATTTATATACAAAATTATGCACAATAAGTCAAGCATTAATACATTTTTGCTGATGGGAAGCAGTTCATGACTTCTCTATGACTCTGGAGAAACTGACAGCATCACTACTTTTGTAGGTTTATTTTCAAACCATGGTAAACCATGATGGTGGCAGTTCTTCAAAGCTAAGAGAAGGTATAAAGTGCTTCCCATCAGTAGGTTCACTACTATATGCAGTTTCGGGCATCCATGGTAGGTTTTGAAATAAATCCCCCATAGATACAGTGGACCCCCGGTTAACGAACTTTTTTCATTCCAGTAGTATGTTCAGGTGCCAGTACTGGGCCGAATTTTTTCCCATAAGGAATATTGTGAAGTAGATTAGTCCATTTCAGACCCCAAACATACACGTACAAACGCACTTACATAAATACACTTACATAATTGGTCGCATTTGCAGGTGATCGTTAAGCGAGGGTCCACTGTAATGGGGAAAAATACGGCACTGAATCATATACTAGTTGTTAATCTGTGCAGAATTTATACTGAATTAATGAGGTGCTTTTCAACAACATTTTACAATTTACAGATAGGGATTGTTTAGTATCTTTTGGCACAGAGTTCCAGATTTTAGGGCCTTTAATTTGCATGAACTTTATAAACTGGTTGAGTTGTACACGTGGGAGATTCAAAAGATACTGTACTTGTTTCTAGTATTATATCTAGGCATTCTATTGGAGCTACAGTATTGTATGTTCTTGTTTCTAGTATCTGTCTAGGTATTCTATTGCAGATACAGTATGTAGGTGTCCCACAGCTTGACTGCAAGTGCACTCAGCTCAAACACTGAGGTCTGTGGTTCGATCCTCAGTACACGTGGAAACATTATGAATGTTTCCTTAAGACACCTGTTGTCCCTGTTCACACAGCTGTAAATAGATACCTGGATATTAGTTGACTGGTGTGGGTTGCATACTGGGGACAAAATGCTCTGCATAACAAGGGGTTTTCTATACAATATGTCAGTGATGTCAGCTACTGTTTGTATACCTTGTACATGTTTTTCTTCTTTCAACAAACTGGCCATATCCCACCAAGGCAGGGTGGCCCAAAAAGAAAAACAAAGTTTCTCTTTTAATTTTAGTAATGTATACAGGAAACGGGTTACTAGCCCCTTGCTCTGGCATTTTAGTCGCCTCTTACGACACGCACAGCTTACAGAGGAAGCATTCTGCTCCACCTCCCCATGGAAGTTTCTTATTAAGCCTTCATTTTGAAACCAAATATTCATCATTCTATTTGAATTTATTTTCTGCTAAGATTTGTTATTATTATTTTACTCTTCCTCATCCAATGCTTTTGAAATTTGCAGGGTTTTCTTTGTTTTTTATAAACTTTTCTCAATCATAATAGTATCCTCATTTTCCAGTCTTTGAATATTATTTTTAAAGAAAAATATATTTTATATTACTTTGAAGTTCAAGTACATATACATGTACATGTACTTGTAGAAAAAAGATTCGTCTTCTTCTTTGAATAAAACCGGCCGTATCCCACCAAGGCGGGGGGCCAAAAAGAAAACAAAAGTTTCTCTTTTTAACTTTATAAGGTATACAGGAGAGGGTTACTAGCCCCTGCTCCGGTATTTTAGTCACTTCTTATGACACCATGGCTTACTGAGGAAGAATTTGTTCATTTGCCATGAGATAAAGATATTTATTTAATATTATAGACAGTCAGAGTATTCAGTTGAATTTACTATGCTGGGCATTACAATGGACAGTAAAAGGTCGAAATAGATTTCGTATATTGAGTAAATTTGACTTTTCAATAGTGGAGTGTGTATTTGCCTGAAACCAATTTAGGTGTCCAAGGTAACATCAGTGAAAGGATTTCGGAGGCTTGTTAGCAGGACTCAAGTCCTGAAGGTGGAAGGACTGGCACCTGCACCTGAGGATGGGTGCGGATTTGAATTTTGACTGTTGCATTACCCATCAAGACATAATAATTTTTCTTGATGCTGGCTGTCTCCACCAAGGCAGAGTGACCGAAAAAATTCGATCATTCACACTATCTGGTCTTGCCAGAGGCATGCGAGTAAGACGTTTGATTCCCCTAAATCAGCAAAACTAATATGCCGAACACTTCTTTCATCCTGTGTTGTCCTGTTCTTGTCTATCTTCCTTCAACTCATATTACTTAGCCTTCGTCCTTAATATACCACTAATTATAACTTTTATTAAATTTCAAACTCAATTAATAAACTATGTATTCCTATTCTCATGTACTAGTAATCATAATTTAGTTTAAAGGCTGCCCAAAATGCCTGGCATAATAAGGGGCTTTTTATAAAGTAGTTTATATACAACACTTACTCTATTTGTATTATATAGTGTACTCCACTTTATAGAAATATAGTATTTTTTTGTTTTTGTTTTTGCAATGGGTGATAGTCAAAATATTTTCTTCTTTGAATCACCTTACCTTAGTCAGAAACAGTCAATATGGTAAAAAAAAATATCCTAGTTTTAATCCATTTGACTCCCTGAAATGCATTTTAAGAGATAAATTGCCTATACTCTCAATGTTTCATAATCTGTAATCAAAAAGCATCGATTTTTTCATGATGGAAAAACCTTGATTACACAAGTTCAGATTAAAGAAAAACGTTACCGTATTTCACGGCTTATTAGATGCATGTTTTTTTCCCATAAAAAGTCTCCAAGAACCACCCTGCCTCCCATAAACTGAAGGTCAGTGACGGGAGCTATAAGTTTGGGGTGCGGGGTGGGCTGTAGCTCTCCCAGTTACATCCGATGCTGAGCCTTTGAAACTAAAACAAGTCTCATAAGCCGCAAAATATGGTATATAAACCTCTGCCAGGGGAGAGGGAGATGGGAGCATCAGTGAGAAGTATGAGTGCAGCATCCTGGAAGGTAGCGAGAACGTCGCTGGCATAGCTGTGGGCCGGCAAGGACACCAGCCGGTCGCTGAATTCTCCTTCACGGGACCGGTGCAGCACCCCATGTAGGGTCCTGGGCCAGGGTAACAAGAAAAAGACTTAGAATAAGCAAGAAAATTGACATATTTTACAAAACCCTTCACAACATATTTACAATAAACAAATTTTTATCTCTAAATTGTTTCAATATTTACAAATCCCTTCACAACACATTTACAATGAAGTTTTTTCTACATTGTTTCAATATTTACAAATCCTTTCACAACACATTTACAATGAACAGATTTTCATCTTAAATTGCTGCAATAATTAAAAAACTTTCACCACACATTTACAATTAGAATATGATGTAAATGGCTTAGAAAACCGACAAGTTAAAGAATGTCTCACTCTTGGGAATCTTCATAATGGACTGAAGAGGCCACTGGCTGGCAAAATGTTGCCATAATAAAGACTTCCAAGTGTTGTGTAAGTGTCTCTTTTCTCCCTCAGGAGCCAGAGACGGGTCATCGCGAGATTGAGACCCGTGCCAGGACTACGGTCTTGGCGAACATTATACATACATGTAAGTGTCTCATTGTGTGTGATCTAATTCATGTCTGCATAAATAGCTCATTATGATTGTGACCAGATATAAACATGTAAATAGTTCATTACCATTGTAACTTGTTCAGCTATCAAAACTTTGCAGCCCAGTCCCTGGACCCATTATGTGCTTCTGTAATGATGAGGTACAGTCCCTAGACCCATTATGTGCCTCTAATGTTGAGGTACAGTCCCTGGACCATTATGTGCTTCTGTAATGATGAGGTACAGTCCCTAGACCCATTATGTGCCTCTAATGTTGAGGTACAGTCCCTGGACCCATTATGTGCTTCTGTAATGATGAGGTACAGTCCCTAGACCCATTATGTGCCTCTAATGTTGAGGTACAGTCCCTGGACCCATTATGTGCCTCTAATGTTTAGGAGCAATCCTTGGATCCATTATGTTCCCCTATAATGTTGAGGTACAGTCCCTGGAACCATTATGTGCTTCTGTAATGTTGAAGTACAGTCCCTGGACCAATTATGTACCTCTGTAATCCTTTGACTACCACCCTCAGGATGGGTATGGGGAGAATAATAAAGATATTGAACTAACCTCAACAACATGCATAGTTACCTGGGCAATGGCTCCATCTTCCCTAGGTTATCAATGATACGAGTGTGGGTGAGAGCGTTTGGGTGTTGCCTGAAGTAGTTGATGCTGCGTTCACAGACAATCGCATAAAAAGATCCTGGAGGAGCTCCCACCACTATTTCTACTGTCTTCTTGGCATGGTCCTTGTGCTGGTTCATTGAGAGTCGCACCTGCATAAAATAAGGGTTGTTGGGATTTTTAACCTGGGAGAAGGGTTAGCCACCCAGGGTAACCGAAGAGAGTCAGTGCGTCATTGAGGACTGTCTGTCTTATTTCCACATTATTAATATAAACATACAAGGATATAAATTTACACTATTTTATATTCTTGTTGTATATCTATAATGATATTGTGTAAAATGAAAACCATAAATCATTTATAAGTAATAAAACCTTTGCATAACAATAATTTGAATGAGTATCTATGTAGACCTCACCTCCATATTATCAAAAATTCTGACAGGTAGTGAGAGGGCATCAGCAAGAACCTCCCCGGCATGTGTGGTGACATAGACAAGAATGGTGAACCTTGGGGCCATAGTGGATGCTACTGCAATGTTTATCGTCACCACATCGTCACCATGATTCACCTCCTTTGCTGAATATATCAGCACTCCTTTGGAAATGATCTGTTGAAGAGAATGGAAGGATTGTTGTGAAGAGGAAGCTGGCTGAGAAGATTTGTTAATACAGGAGGGCTGTGTTTATACAGCAGGTTAGGTTCTGGGTTGCTGCTGTAGAGGAGGGCCCTGCTTGTACAGCAGGTTAGGTTCTGGGTTGCTGCTGTAAAGGAGGGCCCTGCTTGTACAGCAGGTTAGGTTCTGGGCTACTGATGTAGAGGAAGGCCTTGCTTATACTACTTACTACTGTGCAACCTACACTTACAGAGCCATTAATTCCAATATTAACCCTGAACTAAAACACTTTCTTGATAGTCGTGACAGGAACCACAGGCATACACCAGACACAAAAATCTCTATGACATTCCCTGTGTCCCGTAAACCTATACAAAAATTCATTGTACATAAAGGACCTAAAAATGGAACACCCTACTGAAAACTTAGAACTGCAGACACTTTCATCCACTTTTCTAAACTTTCTTATGAAACATCTTATCTCATTTACACACCCGTAACTACATGAAAACCACCTATTCTCTTGCATCATACACACATGAAAAACAAACTAGACCTACTCTCAATATCTGTGATTCCCCCAATTTACACTGACACTATTACCTAATGAATTTTAAACTAGTCATGGTTGCCTGAGATACTGTAATACAGGAGATTTAATAGAAACTATGTATTGTGCCAAGACAAAACCATTTTCGTTGCTAAATTTATGAACTGTAATGCCAGTTCCAACATGCCTACCATAACCTGTTCCAATATAGTTTGAATTAAATCTTTAGTCTGCCGAAAAAGCCTTGTCATGCCAGGCATGATTAGTGGTCCTCTCTGTAATTAGTATTCATATAATATGTAAAACCACCACATTGTAACTAATATTCTATAATATGTAAACCCCGCACTGTAATCTTTATAGAGAATAAATTTGATTGAACTGATTGATTGATACAGCAGGTTAGGTCTGGGCAATGTGTACAGGAGGGGCCTGCTTATACAGGGGTTTGGGTCTGGGGCTACTGCCTGTACAGGAGGGGCCCCTGCTTTAACAGAGGTTAGGTTCTGGCAACTGTGGTACAGGAGAGGCGGGGCCCTGCTTATAGAGCAGGTTAAGTTCTGGCTACTGTTTAAGGAGGGGCCCTGCTTATACAGCAGGTTGGCTTCTGGGCTACTGTGTACTGGATGGGCCCTCCTGCTTAACAGCAGGTTAGGTTCTGGGCCTACTGCAGTACAGGAGGGGCTCTCCTGTTATACAGAGGTTAGGTTCTGGCTATGCTGTACAGGTGGGGCCCCTGCTTATACAGCAGGTTAGGTTCTGGGTTACTTGCTGGTACCAGGAGGGGCCTCTGGCTTGTACAGCACGTTAGGTTCTAGGCTACTGCTGTACAGGAGGGCCCCTGCTAATCAGTAGGCTTAGGTTTCTGGGCTATGCTGTTACAGTAGGCCCCTGCTTATACAGCAGGTTAGGTTCTAGGCTTTGGATCGCTTGTACAGGGGGGCCCTGCTTATACAGTGGGGTTAGGTTCTGGGCTATTGCTGTTACAGGAGGGTCCCCTGCTTTTCAGGCAGGTTAGGTCTGGGCTAACTGCTGTACAGGAGGTGCCTGCTTATACAGCAGGTTTGGTTTGGGATACTGCTGTTTTTTACAGGAGGGGCCCTGCTTATACAGCATTTAGGTTCTGGGCTACTGCTGTACAGGAGGTACCCTGCTTATAACAGCAGGTTAGGTTCTGGCTACTGCTGTACAGAAGGTGCCCCCTGTTATACAGCAGGTTAGGTTCTGGGATACTGTGTACCAGGAGGGGACCTGCTTATACAGCAGATTGGTCCTGGGCTACTGCTGTACAGGAGGTACCCTGCTTATACAGCAGATTAGGTTCTGGGCGACTGCTGTACAGGAGGTGCCCTGCTTATACAGCAGGTTAGGTTCTGGGCATACTGCTGTACTGGAGGTGCCTGCTTTTACGCAGGGCTAGTTTTCCGGTTACTGCTGTACAGGAGAGGCCCTGGTTTATAACAGCAGGTTAGTTTCTGGGCTACTGCTGTACAGTAGGTCCTGCTGTACAGCAGGTTAGGTTCTCTGGGATACTGCTGCTACAGTAGGGCACTTGCTATACAGCAGGTTAGGTTCTGGGCTTACTGCTGTACAGTAGGGGCCCCTGCTTTTACAGCAGGTTAGGTTCTGGGCTACTGCTGTACAGTAAGGGCCCCCTGCTTATACAAGCAGGTTAGGTATCTGGGCTACTGCTGTACAGGAGGGCCCCTGCTTATACAGCAGGCTAGGTTCTGGGCCTACTCTGTTCAGGAGAGGGCCCTGCTTATACAGCAGGTTAGTTCGGGCTACTGCCTGTAAAGTAGGGCCCCTGCTTATACAGCAGGTTAGGGTTCTGGGATAATGCTGATACTGTAGGGCCCTTGCTTATAAGCTGGTTAGGTTATGGGCTATGCTGTTACAGTAGGCACCCTGCTTTACAGCAGGTTTAGGTTCTGGGCTACTGCTGTACAGTAGGGCCCTGCTTATACAGGACAGGTAAGGTTTGGGCTTTCTGCTGTACAGGGAGGGCCCTGCTTATACAGCAGGCTAGGAGTTCCGGCTACTGCTGGTTACAGGATGAGGCCTGCTTAACAGCAGGTTAGGTTCTGGGCTACTGACTGCTACAGTGGGCCCCCTGCTTATACAGAGGGTAGTTCTGGGCTACTGCTGTACAGGAGGGCCCCTGCTGAGTCTGGCAGGGCTAGGTTCCGGGCTACTGCTGTTACTGGAGAGGCCCTGCTGATACAGCAGGTTAGGTTTGGGCTACTGCTGTACAGTTCGGCCCCTGCTTATAACAGCAGCGTTAGGGTTCTGGGCTACTGCTGTACAGTAGGGCCCCTGCTTATACAAAGTTAGGTTCTGGGCTACTGTTCACTGTACAGTAGGGCCCTGCTATACAGCAGGTTAGGTTCTGGGATACTGCTGTACAGTAGGGCCCTTGCTTATACCAGCAGGTTAGGTTTGGGCTACTGCTGTACAGGAGGGCCCCTTGCTTATACAGCAGGCTAGGTTTGGGCTACTGCTGTACAAGGAGTGGGGCCCTGCTTATACAGCAGGGTTGGTTTCAGGGATACTGCTGATGTAAAGTGAAACATAGCTTCTTCATCATTTTCAAAATGCATTTATAGCCTGGATAACATGTTTATACTTTCTTATATTAAGTGAACAATATGAGGCAGGGCCTAAAAAATGCCCATACATTACAAATTACTACTTTTAAAATATTTTCGTCCTTAGCTTATAGTGAGAGTGGAATGTATTTATTGTAGGAAGTTCTGAATAAGTGAAAAAAACGTTGTTACTGGCAATGCGCTGTAAAAGTGGGGCCTTCATGTACTGAACTGTTGATACTGAACCCATGTGGGTCATTCAGCACCAGAGATATCATATTAGATGTCTCAAACCTACATTCTCTAATCTGTCTCTACTCTTAATGGATGGTGGATAAGCTCCGTGATTCTAGCCACTGAATGACCCAACCTTGTTTATTTTCATTTTTTTTAAGACTGGACTATATCTCACTCAGGCAGGGTTGACCCAAAAAAAAAGAAGGAAAAAAAATACTTTCATCATCACTCACTCCATTCACTGTTCTGCCACAGACACACAACAATACAGTTCATAACTGTAAATATCCCCACCCTCCTCTTCAAGAGTGCAGAGCACTGTTACTTCCCACTCGGACTCAAGGTCCGTTTCTAAATGGTTTCCCTGAATCCCTTCATAAAATGTTTCCTTGCTCGCACTCCAACAGCACATCAAATCATAAAAAACACTAGCCTCACTCACTATTGTCTTTCTATGTTCAAAAGAATGGAGTCACTCAAGTTGGTTTCTGCTATTTTTAGCTGGACTTGAGTCCTGGAGGTAGGAGGTACAATGCCTGCACTCTAATGGAGGGGTTTGGGATAGTATTTGCTGGTTTTTTAGTGACATCTACTAAACTGTCGTATCTGGTGCTTCTGGCAAGGACAGTGTTTGATTAGTGTAGATGATGGTTGAAGGCGTTTCTTTTTGGGTACCTTGTCTCGTTGGGAAAATGACCATCATGTTAAAAAAATTAATGAACCAGAGAAAAATCCCTTCATTTTTGCCAGATTTGCAAATACAGTTCCAAGAGTAAATATGGTAATAGGGTACACAAGTTAGAATCTATGGCTCATTTATTTTAATTCAGATTGTAAATTCTTAAATTTACAGTTTATTGTTAAGGCCTTATTATCTTAACTTTGCCTTGAAATGACTCTGCATATTAGGGGACTTTCTGCATGTACACCCAAATGTCATTGTCCTTTGTACAAACATTGTATCATGCTGAAATAAACATTATTATTTTCATTATTATTATTGTTATTATTTATTATTATTTTTTATTATCACACTGGCCGATTCCCACCAAGGCAGGGTGGTGGCCCGAAAAGATAAACTTTCACCATTCATTCACTCCATCAATGTCTGCCAGAAGGGTGCTTTACACTACAGTTTTTAAAATGACAACATTAATCACCCTCCTTCAGTGTGCAGGCATGTGCTTCCCATCTCCAGGAATCAAGTCGGCCTGCCGGTTTCCCTGGAAGCCCTTCATGTATGTTACTTTGCTCACACTCAAACAGCCGTCAAGTATTAAAAACATTTGTTCTCCATTCACTCCTATCAAACACGCTCTCGCCATGCCTTTGACTGGAAGTCCAAGCCCCTCGCACACAAAACCTACTTTTCCCCCTCCCTCCAACCCTTCCTAGGCCGACCCCTTACCCCGCCTTCCTTCCACTACAGACTGATAAACTCTTGAAGTAATTCTGTTTCGCTCATTCTCTCTACATGTCCGAACCACCTCACAACCCTTCCTCAGCCCTTGAGACAACAGTTTTGGTTAATCAAGCACCTCCTCCTAACTTCCAATACTACGATTTCTCTGCATTATATTCACACCACCACTTTGCCCTCAGACATGTCATCTCCACTGCCTCCAGCCCTTCTCCTCGCTGCACATTCATCACACACGCTTCACACCAATATAAGGCGTTGGTTAATAACCATACCTCTCATACATTCCCTCTTTGCACCAAGACAATGTTCTTTGTCTCCTCTGACTCCTAAGGCACCACCACTCTTGTTCCCTCATCTTTCTATGATTCACCTCATCTTTATAGACCATCCGCTGCACGTCCACTCCTAAAATATCTGAATACGTTACCTCCTCCAACTCTCTCCTCCCAATCTGATTATTCAATCTTCATCACCTAATCTTTTTGTTATCCTCATAACCTTTCTCTTTCCTGTATTCACCTTTAATTTTCTTCTTTTGCACACCCTACCAATTTCATCCTCCAATTCTGCAGCTTTCTCTTCAGAATCTCCCATGAGCCACAGTGTCATCAGACAAAGAGCAGCTGTGACAACTCCCACTTTGTGTGTGTATTCTTTATCTTTTAACTCCTCGGCCTCTTGATCCAAGACCCTCGCATTTAACTTCTCTTACAACCCCATCTATAAATATATTAAACAACCACGGACATCAACATCATTGTCTAAGGCCCTACTCTTTACTGGGAAAAAAAATTTCCCTCTTTCCTACCATACTCTAACTGGAGCCTCACTATCCTCGTAAAAAACTCTTCACTGCTTTCCAGTTAACCTACCTCCTCACCATACACTTGCAACATCTGCCACTTTGCCCCCTATCCACCCTGTCTACGCCTTTTTCCAAATCCATAATGCCACAAAGACCTCTTTGCCTTATCTAATACTGTTCAACTTATATGTTTTCACTGTTATCCAACCTGGTCAACACTCCCCCTACCTTTCTAAAGCCTCCTTGTTTATCTGCTATCCTATTCTCCGTCTTACTCTTAATTCTTTCTAATATAACTCTACCATACACTTTACCACTTTATTACACTTTATTACACTTTATTACACCTTTTATTACTGTAGGTAGTAGGGTTGGTAGACTGCAACCGCCCAGGGAGCGGTACTTCCGTCCTGCCCAAGTGAGTGTAAACCGCGAAGCCTATAATTGTTTTTACATGATTGGTTAGGATTGCTTGTGTCTTTTTTTTGTTTTCATAAACATACAAGATTTCAGGTACATCTTTCTCTTATAATTTACACTTAGGTCACACTACACAATACTTGTACAAGATATATATACACACCTCTCTGGGTTTTCTTTGATTTTCTTTCTAGTTCTTGCTCTTGTTTATTTCCTCTTACCTCAATGGGGAAGTGGAAGAGAATTCTTCCTCCGTAAGCCATGCGTGTTGTAAGAGGCAACTAAAATGCCGGGAGCAAGGGGCTAGTAATCTCTTCTCCTGTGTATATTACTAAATATAAAAGAAGAAACTTTCGTTTTTCCTTTTGGGCCGCCCTGCCTTGGTGGGATATGGCCAGTGTATTGAAAGAATAAAGATTATTATTATTATTATCATTATTAAGGGGGGAGTCTCCCTACGATCCCCGGTGGGGAGGGGAACCTCTACCATCTCCACGATGTCTCATCGTGTGAGAATTAAGCCCAAGTCTGCTGTCATTGATGACACCACGAAGCTCGAGCTTACAACCTCACTCAACACTTGTCTTCACGCCAAGTTCTCCAAGATTACTTCACTGAAAGAAGCCTTCATCATCACTTTTCTCGATGATGCTGAAGCTGACAAAGTACTTACACCTACAGCCATGAAGACATTAGAAGACCGTGGTTTTACCATCTCCGCGTCACCATACATGCGTGCAAAATGCTCTGTGTTCATGAAACGCCTTGACAGGCTAATCACGAACATGTCTATCGAGGAAATTACATCATCACTTGAAGACCTCAACACTTGGGCCAAGATTGACTCTGTTGTGAAGATCCCCAACGCTTCCTCAATGCTCAAGGTCACGTTTTTAGACGTTACCATGGCGACCAGAGCATTGTCTGATGGCCTGGCCATCTCTTACTACTACATCAACCCTCGACAGATTGAACCTGAATGATTCACTTACATAACACCTTGTTGGACATGTTACTGGTACAATCACTCTACTGCCGACTGCCACGTGAAGAATAAGAAGATATGTTCCACGTGTGGGTCTGCAGATCACGACTTTCGTTCTTGCACTTCCACTGCTGCTCCCACCTGCATCAACTGTAAGAGTGATCACCATACTCTTGCAGCCAAATGTCCAGTATGCAAGGATATCCTCTCTAAGAAACTGAAAGAAGAAACTTAAGAAGTCTACAGGAAACTCTCCTTCTTATGCTGCTATAGCTAAGCTTCAGATGACCACCACCAAGATTCTACAAGCCACTCAGCAGCCTCCACCAATCACAGCCTCTTTCCCCTACCAGACGATATTTCCACAAAATTCTTTCTCTGCCTGATGTATGCACACATGCAAAATGCAGCTAACCCGGGTTTTTTTCAATACAACTATGAATGATATTCTTGCCCTCAAAATCTTGCCATCATTCAACTTCCCAGCTAGTCCTGCTTCAGCTGAGTTTTGAAGATTTTCCCAAAAATTGTTTGTTTTGAGGCACCAGAAGACTTGAAGATTTTTATTCTGCAGAAGCCACCTGCTCTACTTCGCAATCCTCCAATGAGAGACCCCACCCCCTCCAGCCAACGCCACTGGCCCCAAAAACCAATCAGAGTCCTCAATGGGCCCCACATGCCCCACCTTTTCCCCCACCAATGAGAAACCGCCCCCCAATGCCAGCCACCACATCCATCAAGACACGAGCTGTGTCCTGTCTTTCCCAAACCCCAACAAAACTAACCAATCATCGACTTCACTTGTTGCTCACTAAGGATAAACAACGCTATAATACGATACGTGGAGCCACTTTCTTCACTACTCCTGAGAATCCTTAAAGAATGGATGCAAAGACATTGATCCCCTTGCTCCAAAGCGACGAAGTCAAGTTCGTCTGCAGGCCATCACGTGCTCTCTTCAATCTCCTTAATGCTCCAGAGATCGACCCAGACCGCAAATTTCAACTCATACCCATGCAAAAACCGTCGTTCCAGAATCTTTCTAATGGGTCAATAGCTTAACACACCTCAAGCCGACCTCCACCAATACAACTCATCCTGCTTGCTGCCTTCTGACACTCCCAGCTCCTGTCGCTGCCTTCGCCATCCTCTCCTAGTGAGCCAAGGACTGACATCATCCAAGCCTCTCCATCTACGCCTCCAATACTTCGGTACCACATGTCCCAAAGTGGTTGGGCCACTTGCCTTGATTCCTCCTCTTCCCTTCCTTCCCATCCTTTTCCAGTTATTTCCATCCTTCCTTATCCTTCTTCCTTCCCATCTCACGACAGCTCTCGTAGTCTTCGATTCGATTCGATATTAAGAGGGGGAGCGAGGAGCTAAGACAATCCTTCATCCACAACTAAGTATCTTCAAGAAAACTCATTCTTTCTTATATTGTTATAATAAACTATAAAACATATACTGACCATGTAGACAAACTGCTGCACTGGAAAGTTGCTACGGATGTGGAAGATCGCAAACTCGCCCACCTTGGCCTCATCTGTGCTGGAAGTCACCTGGATATATCTGCAACATTAAGAAAAAACTAGACAAACAAGCAAACTTTATTTCTATAAAGTAAAGTAACAGCACAGTATACAAATAGGGTAATTGACATATATAATCTATTTTATAGAAGGTAAAAGGACACAAGTGCAACTAATGTGACATTTTATTGTTGCAGGAGCTTTGTCAAGCTGTTATGTTACAGCTATTGCTTGATAAAGCTCCTGGAGAGTGAAACGTTGCCACAGTAAAATGCCGCATTAGTTGCGCTTGTGTCCTTTTACCTATCATCGGTAATTCTGCCAACATTAAGACTCTATAGAAAGCCCATTTATTATGCAAGACAGTTTGGGCAGTCTTAAAACTAAATTATGATTACTGTATACATGAGAATAACAATACGTAGTTTATATTATATATATATTATTTTTAAGACATTGGCTGTCTCCCACCAAGGTAGGGTGACCCAAAAATAAACCCACTTTCACCATCATTCACACTATCACTGTCTTGTCAGAGGTACACAGATTCAACAGCTCAGATGTTCTTCCAAACAGTAAATATTCCAAACCCTTCCTTTAGAGCGCAGACATTGTACTTTCCACCTCCAGGACTCAAGTCCAGCTAACCGGTTGTTCTTAATCCCTTCACACTATATTATATTATATCAGAGGTATTCAGTGTTAACAGACGAAGCATTAAGAGACTTTCTTGGGACAATTTTATGGTCCAATCACACAATCCTTTAAGAATAAAAGAAATCACAACAATCTGGCTGGAATAAATCACAAACAGCCCGCACTTGGGAGAGAAAACATATAATTTAAAATTATTATATTTACAGACGAACCCCCAAAGTTTTGAGTTTCCACAATTGCTTCTACTGAAGTGGCCCGGCAAATAATCTTAATGATTTATAAACTTTAGTTCAGTCCAAAATGCAATGAATGTTAATGGCTTTTTTTGTACTTTATAATATTTTATTATATGTAAACTATATTATCTGTATACTGCAGAAAAAAATACAGGAAGTAAACACAGTATAATGATCCGACTTCATTCATACGATAAAAGAAAGGACTTAATTAAATCAGCAATTACAATGAAAAATGGAGTGTACATAAATGAGTGTCTAACAAAAAAACGTCAAAACCTTCTGTTCAGGCTGAGAAAATTAAACAGGAAAACAAAATACATCAGTGTTTCACGCGAGATGGAAAATACTAGTAAGGAAAACATCAACAGGACAACAATATACTATCTCAAATGAACACGATTTCTCTACCTTCCTTAGAAAAGCTGACATTTTGTAACAGATTAGATAAGTGCCCTTAAACATATTACGTGTGGTGATATAGTGTACGTACTAATATTGAAAATTATTATTTTTTTTATTTTTCATCACAGCTAATGAAATACCTCCCAATACTCTATACTTCTTTCTTACTACTATAATTGCTCATAATTTTAAATTACAAGTCAAATCTACTCCAAAATTATAATATTCATTATTCTTACCTGTCCATTTAATTTTGTTTACACTACTTGTTTTTAGTCACTTTTTATTGTGTATGCAATTAGTGTATATTCCAATTTCTTTTTTGCAAGTACCAAAACTATTTTTTTGCTAGCTAGTACCAACTACCTCATTTTTTTTTTCTTTTATTGTGCAATAAACTGCTCAATTTATTAATATTACAAATAAGATCTTACTCCTAAACCAATATTATTTCATAGTGACCACCTGTCCATTTAACTTTGTTTACCATTACTTAATTTTAGTCCCTCATATATTTTCACCTTTATTTTGCTTTATAAAAACTACCCTAGTTTATACATTCACAATTGTTTTAAAATAATCAGGTGCTATTCTCAGGTGCTAAAGTAGAATAAGTTCACACTTTGCCATTATATTCCAAACTACCTTAGCTCATTATTTTTTCATTTGTTAAATAATTCAGGTGCTATTTTTTAGCTTAAAACTATTTACTTTGTTTTATACTTAATTCTAACTATAGATTCACTACAAATCTTATGATTACAAGCATTGATCCTGATACCAACCTCTTATTTATGACTTAAATGATTCAAACAGTTACTGTAATTTACACACTGCAGAACAATCAAAGGCACTTCTCAGTGCCAACAACAACATAACTATCTTTAACTACAATATCAGATCTTTAAGCAAGCATTACGATGACCTCATAGCATTACTAAATTCCTTACATGCCAATATGTCCATCATTACACTAACTGAAACCTGGCTAAAGCCTGATAGTACAGATGTCTATGCCATTCCTGGTTACACAGCCATACACAACTGTAGGCCAGACCAACAAGGGGGTGGCACAGCCATATACTACTCGACCAACTAGAATGTATCACTAATACTTGCACAAGGGATGAGAACATGGGGAATATATAATAGCCAAATTCAAATCAAATACCTACAACCCCCACATGATAAACATTTACAGAGTTCCACAGTCAACATTAGCCAATTTAGTCAAACCTAGGAAGTATGATAACTGATGCACGCATGAACAAAGATCACTTACTACTCTCAGGTGACTTCAATATAAATCTCCTGCAAGACCAGGACCCACACGTTACTGAATTCACAAACACAATGAGTAACTGTATGTTGCTACCAACAGTAACAAACCTACAAGAGTTACAGAGACTAGTGTTTCCCTACTTGACCACATCGGGGGGACCAACACCATATCCCCTTTAAAATCAGGCATAATTACAGATAATACCACAGACCACTACCCTACTTTTCTCATAACAACTCTTGGTAAATTACCCCAAGACACTACTAAGTCACCTTCAGACTTCACAATGAGGCAGCCATTAATAACTTCACAACAGCAGTAGCAAACATTGACTGGCACACTGAGCTAGAAATCTATACAGATATGACGAATGTATTAATAATTTTCTAAAAAAGACCCAATACCTCTATAACAAGCACTGCCCTAAAAAACTAAACAGATGACAGCTAAGAGACTGAACAGTCCCTGGTTAACACCCAGCATTCTCAAATCCATAAATACAAAACACCAATATGAAAAACAGTACAGAATGGGTCACATAACCAGAGACCAAACAAAACGTTACTCGTCAATCCTAACCAGCCTGATAAGAAGGGCAAAAAAATTGTATTATGAGAACAGATTATCCAACTACGAGGTGATATAAAAAAGACCTGGAAAACCCTATCAGAAATTCTAGGAACAAAAAAGATATCACGAAATAGCGAAATAAATTAGCATAAGTCAGATGAACCCCAACTCCCACCAACAGAAACAGCAAACAGACTCAATGACTTCTTCTCCACTATAGGACAAAACCTTGCCAATAAAATCCCAAGCTCAGATACCCCACCAAATGACTACCTCACTGGCAACTACCCGAACACACTGTTCCTAGCTCCGACTAACCCATACGAAGTCTCCCTTATTATCAACACGCTAAAAAACAAGGCAGGAGATTTAAATACCTTACCACCCTTTATATACAAAAAAGTGTCACAAGTGCTATCACCAATCATTGCAACACTCTTTAACAAATCCATTGAATCCTCCACCTTCCCCACAGTACTCAAAATAGCAAGGGTCACCCCGATCCACAAAGGAGGAGACCAAACAGAGTTGAATAACTATAGGCCAATATCCAACTTACACCCTCTCTCAAAATCTTCGAAAAATTAATTCATAAACGAATCTACTCCTACCTTATCTCCCAAAACATACTAAAACCCCTGCCAATTTGGATTCAGGCCAAATAAAAATACTAAATGATGCTATTATACACATGCTAGAACATATATACACTGCAATAGAGAAAAAGAAGTCCCACTGGGGATCTTCATTGACTTACGTAAAGCTTTTGATACAGTTAACCATGACTTGCTCCACGTAAAATTGTCACACTATGGTATAAGAGGGCACTCCCTCAACTACCTCAAGTCATCCTCAGCAACAGAAGCCAATAGTGATGCAAATGGGGAAAAAATTTCTGCACAACCAATTACAGTTGGTGCCCCCACGGGGAATGCCCTTTGGGCCCTTTCTTTTTCTCTTTTAAATAAATGACCTACCAATGCTTCGCAATTACTCAAACCCACACTTTTGCGATCCTACATAGTTTTCCCCCCACCCCAGTCAGCTAGCCAATCTGTAAATACAGAATTACAGAAAAAATTCCCTGGATGAGGACTAAAAAACTCCAAAAATTAAAAAAACTATTTCATTTTTTTTGGGTTTACAGAGCTACTTTTCCCCTTTTTAAATAATGATAAACGGATCACCTATCAAAAGCTAACAGGGGGGAAAATTCTTGGGAAATCCACCTTGATAATAATCAAATTTATACCTATACAAAAAATTTCTAAAAAAATTTTCCAAGACTGGGATACTACGAAGATCGGTACTATGCTCCCAGTCAGCCCCCTGGCCTATATCTTTTTTATTTACCCCTTCTCCCTAGGTTTTGTGCATGGGGTCAACAACAAGTAACCATCTCAGACCACTAATTACCAACAAAAAGGCTGCAGTTAAATGATAAAAAATTTTCTCACTATAGGCAGCCACTCCCCAAATTATTCAATACACAAAACCCTATTCCCCCTACAAAACTTCATTTTTATTCTGCACCTATTAATACATAGAACACTTAACTCTGTTTAACCTCCCCTCAAACATCTCCTTGCCAACCTCAACAGAACACAGCCAAAAAACAAGGCCGATCCTTTTTGATGTTCCTCGTGCCATTCACACTATGCAAAAACTCAATGCACAAAAAAAGGGGCCCTAAAATCGGGAACTCACTCCTGTAAATAAAAAAGAAACACTCCCTTTTTAAAAATTCAAGTCTCTTTCTCAAAGATCATTTACTCCCCCCAAAACCCCCCCCCCCCCCCCCCCCCCCAAAAAAATATAAATAATAAACCTTAAAATTGTATATCTTAAAATGTTTCTCACAATTATATCACAAAAATTTTAAACCAAAAACCCCAATTAACTTTATTTTTTTTTTAAATACACTCCCTAACAGAATACCCCATTCTACAAATGTACAAAAAATGCTAAACCCTATGACCTGTTTTTGAATACTCTTTTGTGCTTTATAGTAATCTTTTTACTTAAAAGTTTTATCCCCGTGTCATCATTGCTTAGCTTTTTAAGTTAATTTTTAAGCCGCCCGAAATGCTTGCTAGTAAAAGTGGTTTGCTACGCTCTTTTTGTTTTTTTTGTACCTCGTATGTGTCCCAAAATTTTAAATAAATAAATAAAAAAAATAAATGGTGCCATTTTTGGGGGGCTTAGTTCATGAGCCTAAATATAATGACTAACTTGGGTTGTGTTCAAAATATGCTCACTGATTTTTTTGTTTTCATATTTTTTTTTTCCAAAACTCAAGAAATCTTTTAATAAACACGATTGCAAAAAACCATACCCCCCGGCTGGGATTAACCCCGGTCTAGAGTCTCAAAATCCAGCCTGTCGTGTTAGCCACAGACCATAGCCAAAATAAGGGATCCCCAAAATGGGTATATTTCTCACCATAGGAAGGTTAGAAGGCCCTCTGTGACCACAAATGCGTTTTTACAGAAATTTTCCCAGCTAGCGGGGCCAGACAACTCTAGCTCAAGCCCCTTTCATCCGTAAACATGACCAAAAATTGAATGACACGATTCCCAAAAAACCTACCCCCGGCCCGGGGATTGAACCCCGGGTCATAGAGTCTAAAAAATCCACTAGCCACTAGCCCAAAAAGATTCATCCACGGCCCCGCTAGTGGAGTTTGTCTTTTAAAAATTGCATTTGGGTCACAGAGGTGCCTTGCAAACCCTTTCCTAGGGTGAGAAATATACCTAGTTGGATGAATCTTTTGGGGCTAGTGGTCTAGGGGCTAACGCGACGGGTGGAGTTTTGAGACTCTATGACGCGGGTTTTCAATCCCACCCGGGGGGGTATGGTTTATTTTTCCTAGGTGTGGGTTGGAAAAACAGAACCCACCCAGGGAGGTACTACCGCCCTCCAAGGAGTGAAAAACAAAAACTGTAATTTTTTTACGATGGTGGGATTGCGGGTGTCTTTTGTCTGTTCATAAAAAATGAAAGATTTCGGTATTTTTGCTCTTTACTTACATTTAGGCCCCCTACACATACTGTAAAGGTTATATATGCCACCCCTCTGGGTTTCTTCTATTTTTTTTCTAGTTCTTGTTCTGTTTTTTTCCTTTATTCCATGGGAAGTGGGCAGAATTCTTCCTCCGTAAGCCAGCGTTTGTAAGAGGCGACTAAAAGCTGGGAGCAAGGGGCCCAGTAACCCCTTTTCCCTATAAATTACTAAATTTTAAAAGGAAACTTTTGTTTTTGTTTTGGGCCACCCCCGCCTTGGTGGGGTATGGCCCGGGGTGTTGAAAGAAAGAAAGAATTTTATTTTTTATTGGGTCTTTTATGGGAAAAAAGAAACCCTTTATATAGTTCAGGCCTTATTAAAGGAAATGTTTCCCTGAGGGTTCATCAGTCATCACGGGGTTTATAAGAGTCACAGGAGACATCAGGGACTTCATAAATCACAGGGTTGTCCAGGGTTGTCGCTATCACTGCATCACTAAACTGTGTGCTACATTGGGGGGGACTACAGGCAGGGGTATACACCAAACTGATAGCATTACATGGTTTGGGAAATACATGGCAGGGGGAGCTGTTTCACCAAGTTGACAGCTGCTACACTGGTTGGAGCTACATGCAGGAGGCGTTACCCAAGTTGACAGCTGCTACACTGGTTGGAAACTACCTGGCAGGAGAGTGTTACACCAAGTTGAAGCTGCTACACTGGTTGGAAACTACATGGCGGAGAGCTTTCCCAAATTGACAGCTGTACCTGGTTGGAATCCGGCAGGAGAGCTGTTTCACCAAGTTTACAGCTGTACATGGTTGGAAAAACACTGGCAGGGGGGCGTTACACCAAGTTGACGCTGCTACATGGGTGGAGTACACTGGCAGGAGGGCGTTACCCAAGTTGACAGCTGTACCGGGTTTGGGGACTACGTTTGGGAGGAGGGGGTTACCCAAGTTGACAGCTGCTAACTGGGTTGGAAACTAACTGGGGAGGGCTGTTACACCAATTGACGCTGCTACCTGGGTGGAGACTACACTGGCAGGGGGCTGTTACACCAAGTTGACAGCGCTACACTGGTTTGGGGACTACACGGCAGGGGGGCTGTAACTAAGCTGACAGTGTACACGGGTGGAAACTAACTGGCGGGGGGGTTGTTTTCCCAAGTTGACGGCTACACTGGTTGGAGACTACATGGCAGGGGGCTGTTACACCCCGTTGACAGCTCTACATGGTTAGGACTACCCAGAAAGGGGGCTGTTTCACCAAGTTGCAGCTGCTAACCCCGGTTGGAGACTCCTGGAGGGGGGCTGTTACCAATTGACAGCTGTACACTGGGGGACATACATGGAAGTAGGCCCTTACAATGGGCAGACAGTCATTACCTTTTTTCTGGGTGGAAATGAGCATGGCATAGCGAGCGAGGACTGTGTCCCTCATCACTGTAGGTAACATCCAGATGGAGATTGCGCTCCTTGGGGATGTCTAAATCAAAACTGAAATGTGGGGTAAAAAAAGTGAGAGAGCACAAAAAGAAATGGGGTGCAAGAAAGGGGAGTAGAGGCAAAAAAGGGACGGGAGTGCAAAAAAGAGTGAGGTTAGAGAGCAAAAAGGACTGGGACTGCAAGAGGAATGAGATAGGAGCAAATTAGGACATGGAAGTACAAGAAAAGTGAAATAGAGAGTAAAAGGGCATGAGGACCCAAAAAGAGTAGATAGAGCAAAAGAGGCATGGAGTGAAAGAAGTGGGATGAAGGGAAAGAGAACATGGGGTGCAAGAAGAAATAAAAAAAAGTAAAAGAGGGAAAAGGGTGCAAGAAATGAGAAAATTTTCAATTTTCATCATTTATTTTCTTTCAGTTTTTCCAGTTAATTTCTAAAAGTTTCCCACTTCGATTTTTTTTTTCTAAGATGGCAATGTTTAAATATGAACATTTTCTCATGCTTGGTTTTAAAAAAGGTTAGAATCGGCAACAATTTTTTCAAAACTACAAATTTTTCTGTTGCAAAAAGGGGCAAAATTTTAAATTTTAAAAAGGGGCATAAAAACAAAAATGTGGATTTTTGTTTTATAATTTAAAGATTTTTTTTTAAAACATCAGCCATCTCCCAATGGGCCAGCGACCCCCAAAAAAGAAAATTCATTCACCATCACTCATCCAATTGCCCTTTTTTCAAAAAGCAAAATGCACTGAACCGCTTTTGATAACTGCAAACACAACATCACAAACCCCTATTTACAGTTAAAATAAAAATTTTTTTAATTTAAATGCCAAAGGGGTATTTATTTTAAAGAATCACATTTTGGGCTAGGCATCATGTGAATCGTGATGTCAGTGCACATCTGGCAAGACAGTGATTGGATGGATGGTGGTGAATGCATTTTACTCATTGTTTGGGGTCATAATACCTTGGTGGAAGACAGCCAGTGTGGTGAAAGCTATGTGAGGCACAAGATTTACCTAAAGTGCAGAAAAGATTTTTTTTTTTTTTTCGACAAGTCGGCCGTCTCCCACCGAGACAGGGTGACCCAAAAAAGAAAGAAAATCCCCAAAAAGAAAATACTTTCATCATCATTCAACACTTTCACCACACTTACACATTATCACTGTTTTTGCAGAGGTGCTCAGAATACAACAGTTTAGAAGCATATACGTATAAAGATACACAACATATCCCTCCAAACTGCCAACATCCCAAACCCCTCCTTTAAAGTGCAGGCAACACTGTACTTCCCATTTCCAGGACTCAAGTCCGGCTATATAAAAATAACCGGTTTCCCTGAATCCCTTCACTAAATATTATCATGCTCACACTCCAACAGATCGTCAGGTCCCAAATACCATTCGTCTCCATTCACTCCTATCGAACACGCTCATGCACGCCTGCTGGAAGTCCAAGCCCCTCGCCCATAAAACCTCCCTTACCCCTTCCTTCCAACCTTTTCGAGGACGACCCCTACCCCGTCTTCCTTCTCCTACCAATTATTATTATTATTATATAATAACACACTGGCTGTCTCCCACCAAGGCAGGGTGACCCAAAAAAGACACATTTTCACCATCATTCACACTATCACTGTCTTGCCAGAGGCATGTGCATACAAAAGTTTAGAGGTCACCCTAAATAGCAAATATCCCAAATCCCTTCTTTGGAATGTAGACATTGTACTTCTCACCTCTAGGATTCAAGTCTGGCTGTTATTATTATTATTAAAATTATATTGATGGGGAAGTGCTAAATCTGCAGGGATCACAGAGCACCTGGGGAATGCGAGGTAATCAGGTTTGATGCAAAGAGGAGGATAGCGCCTATTCACAGATCAAAAGCACTTCCTATGCACCAATCAAAAGCACTTCCTATGCACCAATCAAAAGCACTTCCTATGCACCAATCAAAAGCACTTCCTATGCACCAATCAAAAGCACTTCCTATGCACCAATCAAAAGCACTTCCTATGCACCAATCAAAAGCACTTCCTATGCACCAATCAAAAGCACTTCCTATGCACCGATCAAAAGCACTTCCTATGCACCGATCAAAGGCACCTCCTGATCACTGATTCAGAGCACATCAAGGGTGCATTAACTGCACCCTTGTAGATTGTCAGGTGTCAGAAGAGTGGAACAACTTTCTTCTGTGGTACTGGAACAACTTTAAACATAAATGCCTCAGCATGATAATGGCTTTCTTTGTACCAATCAAATTATGAAATGTAAACACACACTGTAACCTCAACAAAGAAATCAAATTTTATTTTATTTATTAAGTTTTTGCTGAAGGACAACTCCACATTACACAGTCTTGGGTTATCCTGTCAGGTAGAAATCTACTAAAAAGAAGAGCAGTACCCACCTGTAGATGCCAGTCTCACGGTACTCAGTAAAGTACTGCTCTCTGGTATAGTCGTCCATCAAGTCTTGCAACTCTCTCTCTGCCAGGGTCACTTCGTTCATCCACGTCTCGTCCTCGTCCTGTAGACCCACTTGGTAAGCCAGTTCACTGGCTTTTTGAGCCTCTCTCAAGACCTCCAGCGTCTCATCTTGTAGCTTCCCATCCATCGACTGAGGTGAGATGACAATCTGGCCAAATTCAAATTCAAATGTTATGTATTTATTTATTTATTTTTTAATACATTAACCATCTCCCACTGATGCAGGGTGACTTGAAAAAGAAACACTTTAACCATTATTTGCAGCATCACTGTCTTGCCAGAAGCATGCACATATGACAGTTTAGATGTCCCTCTAAACAGCAAATATACAAAACCCCTTTTAAGTGCAAAAATGGTACTTCCCACCTCCAGGACTCAAGCCCAGCTAACCGGTTTTCCCAACTCCTTCACAAAACACTGTCTTGCCAATTTCTTTCTATGGTACAAAAACAATATAGTTTACATATAATAAAACATTGTTAGGCACAAAAGAAAACCATTAGTATGCAATGCATTTTGGGCAAACTAATTCTAATGCTTAAAGACTACAAAAGAATTAGAAATAGATTGTAAAGTAGGATTTCTTATGCAGTTAACTACAATCATAATCCAAAGTAAGAGATAAACTTGCTACTGCAGGAATATGGGACTGATTTGTAGGTACAGTGCAGTGTTTATCCTGACTGAGCCTTCGGCCTACACCTACACTGCCACTTACCGTATTTTCTGGCATATAAGGCGCTTTTTTTCCTACATAAAAGTTGGAAAATCACTCTGGACCTTATATGCTCAAGGTCAGGGTCAAGGGTAGGCTTTGGGTTATGCTTTAGGCCTTGTTTACTAACATTATACAGTGGACCCCCGGTTAACGATATTTTTTCACTCCAGAAGTATGTTCAGGTGCCAGTACTGACCGAATTTGTTCCCATAAGGAATATTGTGAAGTAGATTAGTCCATTTCAGACCCCCAAACATACACATACAAACGCACTTACATAAATACACTTACATAATTGGTCGCATTCGGAGGTGATCGTTATGCGGGGGTCCACTGTATTTAAGATCTAATCTAAGTCTGCCCGAAATGCCTAGCCATGCTAGGTGTTCTAGTGGTACACTCTGTAATTATTATTTTACTACATATAAACCACACAATAACCAAATTCTGTAAACTCAGCATTGTAATCCTTATAGAGAATAAACTTTGAATTTGAATTTGACTTTGAACTGCTTGGAAACAGTGTCTTATATCAGTGGCAGCTTGTAGCACCAGTAATACCTATACTATTGTACTGCATCAAACTTCAATTTTTAATAATTTTTATCTCATTTGAACAAAAAAATAAAAAATTTGCTTATAAATACATTGAAAACAACATACAACAGATTTTTCCTGTAATATATTTGTCAGTTGCAAATTATTTTAGCACAAGGTTGATGAAGTCATAGGTCTGGCAGTGAGCATCTGGGGGGGACTGTAGCTCTGCAGCTCCTATGGACGAGCCGCCACTGTCTTATATGCTTATGTACCATATCTGTTATTTGTTGGTGATACAGGATGAATATGAGGTGCATAATAAGGCTATCTATTCAATGCAACATAAGGTCAGTTTAATATATAATAAATGCATTTAATTACTAAATGTAAAAATAAAGAAAAGCTTTAATTTCTTTTGTTTTTTGGGTCACCCTGCCTCAGTGGGAGATGGCTGGTGCGTTAAAAAAAAAGGAAAAAAATAATACCTGTGGAAGGGTGAAGGTGGAGCCAGTGTTGGAGGTGACGGTGGAGGTGATGACCAAAGTTGAACCAGCCAGACGTGACGCTTCCACTGGTACTCTGTCACTGTGCCTCACCGATACCTATTAGAGTGGACAGGTAGCTGGTTATTGTGTTCAAACAAACACATGTACAAACTTTGTTTCTATAAAGTGGAGTACAGTACAGTGGACCCCTGGTTTACGATATTATTTCATTCCAGAAGTATGTTCAGGTGCCAGTACTGACCGAATTTGTTCCAATAAGGAATATTGTGAATTAGATTAGTCCATTTCAGACCCCCAAACATACATATACAAATGCACTTACATAAATACACTTACATAATTGGTCGCATTGGGAGCTGATCATAAACCGGGGGTCCACTGTATATTATACACTCTCCACACATACAAACTTTATTTCTATAAAGTGAAGTATAGCACATTATACAATTTATGCACTCTCCACACATACAAACTTCATTTTTATAAAGTGGAGTACAGTACAGTGGAGCCCCGCCTTACGAACACATCACCTTACATTAAATCTGCCATACGAAGCATATGAACACAAAAATTTTTCCTCGCCTTACGTGATTCGTCCGGGACGCGTCCCACATGTGGCCTCAGCTGCCCCGTAGGTACCAGTGTTTACAAGCCAGCCAGTGCGGTTGCAACTAAGCATACATTCGGTACATTTCATATTATCACAGTGTTTTTAGTGCTTGTAGCTGCAAAATAAGCCACCATGGGCCCCAAGAAAATTTCTAGTGCCAATCCCATGGTAAAAAAGGTGAAAATTACTATTGAAATGAAGAAAGAGATAATTACTAAGTAGGAAAGTGGAGTGCGTGTCTTGGAGCTGGCCAGGTTGTATACTAAACCCCAATCAACCATCGGTACTATCTTGGCCAACAAAACAGAAATCAAGGAAGCTGTTCTTGCAAAAGGTGCAAGTTTGTTTTTGAAACAGAGATCGCAAGTGATAGATGTTGAGAGACTGTTATTTGTGTGGATAAACAAAAAACAGATTGCAGGAGATAGCATCTCTCAAGCAATCATATGTGAAAAGGCTAGGAAGCTGCATGATGATTTAATTAGGAAAATGCCTGCAACTAGTGGTGATACGAGTGAATTTAAGGCCAGCAAAGGTTGGTTTGAGAGATTTAAGAATCGTAGTGGCATACATAGTGTGATAAGGCATGGTGAGGCTGCCAGTTCGGACCAAAGAGCGGCTGAAAAATATGTGAAGGAATTCAAGGAGCACATAGACAGTGAAGAATTGAAACCTGAACAAGTGTTTAATTGTGACGAAACAGGCCTGTTTTGGAAGAAATTGCCAAGCAGGACCTACATTACTCAGGAGGAAAAGGCACTCCCAGGACATAAGCCTATGAAAGACAGGCTTACTCTTCTGATGTGTGCTAATGCTAGTGGTGATTGCAAAGTGAAGCCTTTATTGGTGTATCACTCTGAAACTCCCAGAGAGTTCAGGCAAAACAATGTCGTCAAGGCTAATTTGTGTGTGCTGTGGAGGGTAAACAGTAAGCCATGGGTCACTAGGGACTTTTTCTATGACTGGTTACACCATGCATTTTCCCCCAGTGTGAAAAATTACCTCCTGGAAAAGAAATAGGACCTTAAGTGCCTCCTGGTATTAGACAATGCTCCTGGTCATCCTTCAGACTTGGCAGAGTGACTTTCTGGGGACATGAGCTTTATTAAGGTCAAGTTTTTGCCTCCTAATACCACTCCTCTCCTGCAGCCCATGGACCAGCAGGTCATTTCAAACTTCAAAAAACTCTATACAAAAGCTATGTTTCAAAAGTGCTTTGAAGTGACCTCAGACACTCGATTGACTCTAAGAGTGTCAGAAAGATCACTTTAGTATCCTCAGTTGTGTAAACCTTATAGGTAAGGCTTGGGAGGGAGTGACTAAGAGGACCTTGAACTTTGCTTGAAAGAAACTGTGGCCAGAATGTGTAGAAGAAAGGGATTTTGAAGGGTTTGAGGCTAACCCTGAGAAGCGTATGCCAGTTGTGGAATCCACTGTGGCATTGGGGAAGTCATTGGGGCTGGAAGTTAGTGGGGAGGATGTGGAAGAGTTGGTGGAGGAGGACAATGAAGAACTAACCACTGATGAGCTGCAAGATCATCTTCAACAGCAAGAGGCCAGACCTGAGGAAACTGCTTCAGAGGAGGGGAGAGAGAAATTGAGGAAGTTGCTTACTTCAAAGATTAAGGAAATGTGTGCAAACTGGGTTGAACTGCAAACCTTTATGGATGAAAATCACCCTGACACAGCTACTGCAAGCCATGTTAGCAACCTGTACAATGACAATGTTATGGCCCATTTTAGGAAAGTCTTAAAGGAACGGGAGGTACAGAGCTCTATGGACAGATTTGTTGTGTGACAGAGGTCCAGTGACTCTCAAGCTGGTCCTAGTGGCATTAAAAGAAGAAGGGAAGTAACCCTGGAAAAGGACTTGCTACCTCAAGTCCTAATGGAAGGGGATTCCCCTTCTAAACAATAACAACTTCCACACTCTCCCCTCCTCCCATCCCATCAATCATCGCCAGATCTTCAATAAAGGTAAGTGTCATGTATTCTATTCTTAGTACCTGGAGTTTACCTGGAGAGAGTTCCGGGGGTCAACGCCCCCGCGGCCCGGTCTGAGACCAGGCCTCCTGGTGGATCAGAGCCTGATCAACCAGGCTGTTGCTGCTGGCTGCACGCAAACCAACATACGAGCCACAGCCCGGCTGATCCGGAACTGACTTTAGGTGCTTGTCCAGTGCCAGCTTGAAGACTGCCAGGGGTCTGTTGGTAATCCCCCTTATGTGTGCTGGGAGGCAGTTGAACAGTCTCGGGCCCCTGACACTTATTGTATGGTCTCTTAACGTGCTAGTGACACCCCTGCTTTTCATTGGGGGGATGGTGCATCGTCTGCCAAGTCTTTTGCTTTCGTAGTGGGTGACTTTCGTGTGCAAGTTCGGTACTAGTCCCTCTAGGATTTTCCAGGTGTATATAATCATGTATCTCTCCCTCCTGCGTTCCAGGGAATACAGGTTTAGGAACCTCAAGCGCTCCCAATAATTGAGGTGTTTTATCTCCGTTATGCGCGCCGTGAAAGTTCTCTGTACATTTTCTAGGTCGGCAATTTCACCTGCCTTGAAAGGTGCTGTTAGTGTGCAGCAATATTCCAGCCTAGATAGAACAAGTGACCTGAAGAGTGTCATCATGGGCTTGGCCTCCCTAGTTTTGAAGGTTCTCATTATCCATCCTGTCATTTTTCTAGCAGATGCGATTGATACAATGTTATGGTCCTTGAAGGTGAGATCCTCCGACATGATCACTCCCAGGTCTTTGACGTTGGTGTTTCGCTCTATTTTGTGGCCAGAATTTGTTTTGTACTCTGATGAAGATTTAATTTCCTCATGTTTACCATATCTGAGTAATTGAAATTTCTCATCGTTGAACTTCATATTGTTTTCTGCAGCCCACTGAAAGATTTGGTTGATGTCTGCCTGGAGCTTTGCAGTGTCTGCAATGGAAGACACTGTCATGCAGATTCGGGTGTCATCTGCAAAGGAAGACACGGTGCTGTGGCTGACATCCTTGTCTATGTCGGATATAAGGATGAGAACAAGATGGGAGCGAGTACTGTGCCTTGTGGAACAGAGCTTTTCACCGTAGCTGCCTCGGACTTTACTCTGTTGACGACTACTCTCTGTGTTCTGTTAGTGAGGAAATTATAGATCCATCGACCGACTTTTCCTGTTATTCCTTTAGCACGCATTTTGTGCGCTATTACGCCATGGTCACACTTGTCGAAGGCTTTTGCAAAGTCTGTATATATTACATCTGCATTCTTTTTGTCTTCTAGTGCATTTAGGACCTTGTCGTAGTGGTCCAATAGTTGAGACAGACAGGAGCGACCTGTTCTAAACCCATGTTGCCCTGGGTTGTGTAACTGATGGGTTTCTAGATGCGTGGTGATCTTGCTTCTTAGGACCCTTTCAAAGATTTTTATGATATGGGATGTTAGTGCTATTGGTCTGTAGTTCTTTGCTGTTGCTTTACTGCCCCCTTTGTGGAGTGGGGCTATGTCTGTTGTTTTTAGTAACTGTGGGACGACCCCCGTGTCCATGCTCCCTCTCCATAGGATGGAAAAGGCTCGTGATAGGGCTTCTTGCAGTTCTTGATGAACACAGAGTTCCATGAGTCTGGCCCTGGGGCAGAGTGCATGGGCATGTCATTTATCGCCTGTTCGAAGTCATTTGGCGTCAGGATAACATCGGATAGGCTTGTGTTAATCAAATTTTTGTGGCTCCCTCATAAAAAATTCATTTTGATCTTCGACTCTCAGTCTGGTTAGCGGCTTGCTAAAAACTGAGTCATATTGGGACTTGAGTAGCTCACTCATTTCCTTGTTGTCATCTGTGTAGGACCCATCTTGTTTAAGTAGGGGCCCAATACTGGACGTTGTTCTCGATTTTGATTTGGCATAGGAGAAGAAATACTTTGGGTTTCTTTCGATTTCATTTATGGCTTTTAGTTCTTCCCGCGATTCCTGACTCCTAAAGGATTCTTTTAGCTTAAGTTCGATGCTTGCTATTTCTCTGACCAGTGTCTCCCTACGCATTTCAGATATATTGACCTCTTTTAGCCGCTCTGTTATTCTTTTCCGTCGCCTGTAAAGGGAGCGCCTGTCTCTTTCTGTTTTACATCTACTCCTCCTTTTTCTTAGAGGAATAAGCCTTGTGCATACATCGAGTGCTACCGAGTTAATCTGTTCTAGGCATAAGTTGGGGTCTGTGTTGCTTAGTATATCTTCCCAGCTTATATCGGTTAGGACTTGGTTTACTTGGTCCCACTTTATGTTTTTGTTATTGAAGTTGAATTTGGTGAATGCTCCCTCGTGACTAATCTCATTATGTCGGTCTGGGGCTCCGCGCATACATGACTGAACCTCAATTATGTTGTGATCTGAGTATAATATTGTTTTTGATATGGTGATATTTCTTATCAGATCATCATTGTTAGTGAAGATGAGGTCTAGTGTATTCTCCAGTCTAGTAGGCTCTATTATTTGCTGGTTTAAATTGAATTTTGTGCAGAGATTTAAAAGCTCGCGTGAGTGTGAGTTTTCATCAGAGCTGCCTCCTGGTGTTATTACTGCAACAATATTATTTGCTATATTCCTCCATTTTAGGTGCCTTAAGTTGAAATCCCCCAGGAGCAAGATGTTGGGTGCAGGAGCTGGAAGGTTTTCCAGACAGTGGTCAATTTTTAACAGCTGTTCCTGGAATTGCTGGGATGTTGCATCCGGAGGCTTGTAGACTATCACAATGACTAGGTTTTGGTTCTCGACCTTTACTGCTAAAACTTCCACTACATCATTTGAGGCATTTAGTAGAGTAGTAATTGTGCATGTCTTTTTCAGTTTGTGTGTATTAAAATTAATATTTCATGTGGTAAAAATTTTTTTTTTCATACTTTGGGGTGTCAGGAACGGATTAATTTGATTTCCATTATTTCTTATGGGGAAAATTAATTCGCATTACGATATTTTCTGCTTACGATGAGCTCTCAGGAATGGATTAATATCGTAAGGCGGGGGTCCACTGTACATTATACATTTATTATGCACTCTACACCCATCCTTACAGCCTCCAAAGTCAGGTTGACGACCTGTTTGTCAGGTCCTCAGGTTCATGGGTCAAGTTCTACACTAAATAATTCTTCTTCTTTACAATATTTATTATTATTTTTCTTTCTTTCAATGCACTGGCCATATCCCACCAAGGCAGGGCGGCCCAAAAAGAAAAACAAAAGTTTCTCTTTATAAATTTAGTAATGTATACAGAAGGGGTTACTAGTCCCTTGTTCCCGGCATTTTAGTCGCCTCTTACGACACGCATGGCTTTAGGAGGAAGAATTCTGTTCTACTTCCCCATGGAGAAAAATTTATTCTTTTCTTTCTTTCAACGCACCAGCCGTATCCCACTGAGGTGGGGCGGCCCAAAAGGAAAAACGAAAGTTTCGCCTTTTTGAATTTAGTAATATACATATACAGGAGAAGGGGTTACTAGCCCCTTGCTCCCGGTATTTTAGTCGCCTCTTATGACACGCATGGCTTAAGGAGGAAGAATTCTGTTCTACTTCCCCATGGAGAAATTTTTTTTTTTGTTTTTTTCAACAAGTCGGCCATGTCCCACCGAGGCAGGGTGACCCAAAAAAGAAAGAAAATCCCCAAAAAGAAAATACTTTCATCATCACTCAACACTTTCACCACACTCACACATTATCACTGTTTTTGCAGAGGTGCTCAGAATACAACAGTTTAGAAGCATATACGTATAAAGATACATGACATATCCCTCCAAACTGCCAATATCCCAAACCACCCAGGGAGGTACTACCATCCTGCCAAGTGAGTGTAAAAAAAAGCCTGTAATTGTTTTACATGATGGTAGGATTGCTGGTGTTTTTTTGTCTGTCTCATAAATATGCAAGATTACAGGTACGTCTTGCTACTTCTACTTACACTTAGGTCACACTACACATACATGTACACATTTATTTATACACACTCATCTGAGTTTTCTTTGATTTTATCTTAATAGTTCTTGGTCTTATTACTTTTCCTTTTACATCCATGGGGAAGTGGAATAAGAATCTTTCCTCCGTAAGGCATGCGTGTTCTAAAAGTCAACTAAAATGCCGGGAACAATGGGCTAGTAACCCCTTTGCCTGTAAAGATTACTAAAAAGAATAAGAAGAAGAAAAATTTATTATTATTATTATTTCCTTCCTCCGTAAGCTATGCACGTCATAAAAGGCAACCAAAATGCCAGGAGCAAGGGGCTAGTAGCCCCTTCTCCTGTATACATTACTAAATGTAAAAGGAGAAACTTTCATCTTTCCTTTTGGGCCACCCTGCCTCGGTGGGCTGCTCCGCCTCGGTGGGCTGCCCCACCTCGGTGGGATACGGCCGGTGCGTTGAAAGCATAATAATAATAATAATAATACATATACTAAATTCTTGGGAAGTGCTAAACCCATAAGGCTATTCCACACTTATAGCGAGAGGGAAAACTGGAGTAAGATATACTCAAGAGGCGACTGTCACATATTCATGGGAATCGGTAAACTTGTAGGGGTCATACAATGCCTTAGGAAGAGGAGGTAATCACATCTGATCCTAAGATGAGGAGACTAGCTTTGATTCACTGGATCAGGACCCCTTCTTGAAGGATTGGGGAGGAGGTGATGTGCAAACGATTGCCTTTGTGAATCATTTCACTTTTCAATTATTTACACTTGTCCACCACTTACACTTGTAAATCATTTACAACTGTCTACCACATACACTTGTAAATCATTTATACCTGAATTATTTAAATAACAAAAAAGGCACAATACCGTGACTGGAACGATACACAAATAACCCGCACATAAAAGAGAGAAGCTTACAACGACATTTCGGTCCGACTTTGTCAATGGTCCAAGTCGGACCGAAATGTCATCGTAAGCTTCTCTCTTTTATGTGCGGGTTATTTGTGTACTGAATTATTTACTTTTAATCATTTGCACTTATGAATCATATACATCAGTAAATCATTCACACTTGCAAATCATTTCCATTACTACTGATTGATGCATTGATGCACTTTGAAGAACTTAAATTCATCATTGAGCCAACATGGGCATGTGGAGTACCACTTACCGCAGCACTGAAGGGCATGCCTGGACGAAAGATGAAGGGGGAGGTGCCTACCACTGCCACCTCAATGTGGTTGCTGATGATCCGTGTTCTGTAGACCAGAGAAAAAAGTTGAGTCAAAAACTAAATCCCAAAACATTATTACAGTGGTCCCCCTGTATCTGCATGGAATACATTCGAAGACCTACTGTGGATGCCGGAAACTGTGGATAGTATTATTTTTATTTTTTTTTATTAACACACTGGCCGATTCCCACCAAGGCAGGGTGGCCCAAAAAAGAAAAACTTTCACCATCATTCACTCCATCACTGTCTTGCCAGAAGGGTGCTTTACACTACAGTTTTTAAACTGCAACATTAACACTCCTCCGTCAGAGTGCCGGCACTGTACTTCCCATCCCCAGGACTGTGGATAGTAGCGAACCCTATACAGTGGACCCCCGCTTAACGATCACCTCCAAATGCGACCAATTATGTAAGTGTATTTATGTAAGTGCTTTTGTACGTGTATGTTTGGGGGTCTGAAATGGACTAATCTACTTCACAATATTCCTTATGGGAAAAAATTCGGTCAGTACTGGCACCTGAACATACTACTGGAATGAAAAAAGTTCGTTAACCGGGGGTCCACTGTATACATGTATATGTCGTGTTTCATTTACATACATATGTACTGTACTTATGATAAACTTTAATTGATAAGTTAAGCACAGCAAGTAGAGAATTAGCACTTTTTCACTGATGGGAAGCACTTCACAGCTTCTTTTATGCTCTGATGAACTACCAGCATCACTACTTTTGCAATATGGGGCCATTATTAAGGAAAATTAAGGGTTATTTTTGGGCCATGGTAAACTGCAGATAACTGAAACTGCAGAAAGATAATCCGCAGATGCGGGGGTTTTGCTGTATGCTGACAAAGAATAGGACAGTAAATAATCACAAATTTTGTAAGGCTCTCTGAATAACCCCAAGGATCATGGGGCTCTTGAAAATTACAATGTTAAATGGCTCCCTTTGATCATGGGGCTCTTGAAAATACTATATAGATATCTCTGAAGAATTTCACAGTTCCTGGCTCTCTCTGAAGCATCCCACAGTTCCTGGATATCTCTGAAGCATTCCACAGTTCCTGAATCTCTCTGAAACATCCCACAGTTCCTGGATCTCTCTGAAGCATTCAACAGTTCCTGAATCTCTCTGAAACATCCCACAGTTCCTGGATCTCTCTGAAGCATTCAACAGTTCCTGGATCTCTCTGAAACATTCAACAGTTCCTGGATCTCTCTGAAGCATTCAACAGTTCCTGAATCTCTCTGAAACATCCCACAGTTCCTGGATCTCTCTGAAGCATTCAACAGTTCCTGAATCTCTCTGAAACATCCCACAGTTCCTGGATCTCTCTGAAGCATTCAACAGTTCCTGAATCTCTCTGAAACATCCCACAGTTCCTGGATCTTCTGAAGCATTCAACAGTTCCTGAATCTCTCTGAAACATCCCACAGTTCCTGGATCTCTCTGAAGCATTCAACAGTTCCTGAATCTCTCTGAAACATCCCACAGTTCCTGGATCTCTCTGAAGCATTCAACAGTTCCTGGATCTCTCTGAAGCATTCAACAGTTCCTGGATCTCTCTGAAGCATTCAACAGTTCCTGGATCTCTCTGAGCCATCCCACAGTTCCTGGACCCTTCCCCAGGATGATCATGAGTTTACTGGATCTCTCTGGAACATTACAAAGAACAAAGAGTGTTGCTTCCTCTGGAAAACCAAGAGTTTCCTGTGGGCTTCTGGAAGGCAAAAGAGTTTGTTTCCAATCTCAGGATGACCACAAGGTTCCAGGACCACAATAGTGAACAAAAAAGTTAAAGTATCTTCCTGGAGGTTAATAGAATCTAGAAGTTTAGATCTCAGGATGACCACAAGGTTCCAGGAGCAGAAGTGTGAACTTATAAAGTTAAAATATCTCCCTGGAAATCAAAAGAATCCAGAGGTTCTGTAAAAGACCAATATATTCCCAAGCTTTTCTGAAAGTGTTGTAAAATTTCAATACCAACCTAGAGTGCCCTGTCCCCCTGATCCAGGTGAAGACATCATAGAATTCGACATCCACCATGACTTCAGCACCATCCAGCTCTTCCACGTGTTCCAGCAGTGACTCCATTGGGAAGGCAAAATCTGCTTCACCATCCACCTGGGAAGTTGAATCAAGTTGTGAATCTCACATTGAAACTGACTGCAACTGTATGGATGGTGACAACTTTACCATGCTCTGTCATGCTGGCTCTATTATGGAAAGTTATGGCCCTTGTAAGAAAAGTGATAGTTCTATCATGGAAAGTTATAACCCTTGTATGTCATTCACCTTTGTACAAACACTGCATCATGCTGAAATAAGTTATTATTATTAGCACATTAAGATCTAAATTCAGCACAGTAACTACTGGGTAAGTAAATACATTATATTAAATAACAAAATGGCACAATACCATGGCTGAACGGTATACAAATAACCCAGACATAGGAGAGATAAGCTTATGACTATATTTCAGTCCAACCTGGACTATCTACAAGTCACAGTGTGATTTTGTAAATAGTTGAAGTCGGACCGAAACATTGTCATATACTCTCTCCTATGTCTGGGTTATATATGTATATTATAATATTGACAGTCTACAGACACTAATCTGCCTGAAATGCACGCCATGCTAGCGGTGCATTTTGGACTAATTGCCTCAATACTACTACTGTCTTTAGTGTTATATTTGTCTGTATTCAACTGAAGAACCCTGTTTGCAGATTAAACATTTCAGCAATAAAGATACCCAAGTGTTGTACATGTATCTTTTTCATTAACATCTACCCCTAAACTGGCAGCAGAGAGCAGGTCTCAAGATACAACATCAGCTCACATAGTCTAAGTATAAGTCGGAGACTTCCTTGAACTCTGTGTCCGGCAGTGTCCACGGGCGCTTGACATATAGTGTTAGGGTGGCATTGCCATATATAGGCTTGTCTGTCGAGTAGCTCCCTGTCACTAAGCCTGTGATCTCCTCCTCGTCATCCATTGCGTAGTATGGCATCTCGACTTGCACCTGGAGGAGCAAGATGACAGCTTAACATCTAAGTATAAGGACCATCATAATCCATTTTAAGGAATATGTATTATTATTATTTTTTGTTTTAACACACCAGCCATCTCCCACTGAGGCAGCGTCACCCAAAAAAGAAAAACCGACGTTGCTTTTTTTTTTAATTTAGTAATTCATACAGAAGAAGGGGTTACTAGCTCCTTGCTCCCAGCACTTCAGTCATCTTTTAGAACACACATGGCTTATGGAAGAAGAATTCTTATCTACTTCCCCATGGAGATTATTAATATTATTTTCACAGGGGTTATAAAGCACAACAGAAATGAAAAAAATTAGATATGATCCTAGGAAGGGTAGGATATCTCCAATTCCTGGACAAGAGTGCTTAATTGGCATCAAGTCATTAAACAGCATTAACTCACAATTGGTAAAACAATAATACGCTACCGCTCGTAGTTACCTCGAAGAGTGGCTCATATATCTTGTGAACCATGAACCTTTTTGTCTCAACCTGTCCTTCAGCGCTCACCTTCACCCACCACCACCCAGCCTCAGGCAACTCTGGGGTCTGGTAAGCTACAGTCACCACACCTGAGGTCATACAAGATATCATATAATGAACCTTATAAACAAAACCCAAATTGAATATTTGCATGTAATAAAAAAATCTAAACTACAGCTCTTACAAGACAAAAACCCAGCAAACCCACTAAGTCCAACCATTGTAAATTGAACCATTGTACTTTTTTTTTTTTTTTTTTTTTTTTCAACAAGTCGGCCGTCTCCCACCGAGGCAGGGTGACCCAAAAAAAAGAAAGAAAATCCCCAAAAAGAAAATACTTTCATCATCATTCAACACTTTCACCACACTCACACATTATCACTGCTTTTGCAGAGGTGCTCAGAATACAACAGCTTAGAAGCATATACGTAATAAAGATACACAACATATCCCTCCAAACTGCCAAATATCCCAAACCCCTCCTTTAAAGTGCAGGCATTGTACTTCCATTTCCAGGACCAAGTCCGACTATATGAAAATAACGGTTTCCCTGAATCCCTCACTAAATATTACCCTGCTCACACTCCAACAGATCGTCAGGTCCAAGTATCATTCGTCTCCATTCACTCCTATCTAACACGCTCATGCATGCTTGCTGGAAGTCCAAGCCCTAACCCACAAAACCTCCTTTACCCCTCTTTCCAACCCTTTCGAGGACGACCCTACCCCTCTTTCCTCCCCTATAGATTTATATGCTTTCCATGTCATTCTACTTTGATCCATTCTCTCTAAATGACCAAACCACCTCAACAACCCTTTCTGCCCTCTGACTAATGCTTTTATTAACTCCACACCTCTCCTAATTTCCACACTCGAATTTCTGCATAACATTTACACCACACATTGCCCTTAGACAGACATCTCCACTGCCTCCAACCGTCCTCGTGCTGCATTACCACCCAAGCTTCACATCCATATAAGAGTGTTGTACTACTATACTTTCATACATTCCCTTCTTTGCCTCCATAGATAACGTTTTTTGACTCCACATATACCTCAACGCACCACTCACCTTTTTTCCCTCATCAATTCTATGATTAACCTCATCCTTCATAAATCCATTGTACTTATGTATACTTATACCTAGATAAACTCACTTTTTTGTGAGGTACTTACGTTAACCAATTAGAGGTACAGGCTTGATCCCCAAGTCTGATAACCATGAGGTATTTGGGTTTGATATGAGGAAGTGGAGGTAGCTCTCATTCCTCAGATCAAGAGCCCTTCACCAGCATGCAGGCACTCCTCTCAAAGTGATAGCTAAATCGAGGTAGGACTCACCTGCGTGTGGTGCTCGCGAGACCCAGCGCTTGACAACATTATCCTGAGGATCCTGGAGATGAAGACGGATGAGTAATGTTGTGTATCTCAATGATCATGAGAACTCATGCTCACAAAAAAAAAAAATATAAATATGTGTGTGTGTGTGTGTACTCACCTAGTTGTGGTTGCAGGGGTCAAGTCACAGCTCCTGGCCACACCTCTTCACTGGTCACTACAAGGTCACTCTTCCTGCTTCATGAGCTTTATGATACCTCTTCTTAGCTTTATTATACCTTTATCATATGTGTGTGTGCATGTGTATGTGTGTTCCAATATAAGTGAGGGGGAAGGAAGGAGAGTGAAGCAACAGGAGAGATAGGAGGGAGAGAAGGAAGAAAAGAGACAGAGAGACTGTGTGTGTACTCACCTAATTGTGGTTGCAGGGGTCGAGACTCAGCTCCTGGCCCCGTCTCTTCACTGACTGCTACTGGGTCCTCTCTCTCCCTGTTCCATGAGCTTTAAAATACCTCGTCTCAAAACTATGTATTGTTCCTGCCTCCACTACATCGCTTTCCAGACTATTCCACTTCCTAACAACTCTCTGGCTGAAGAAATACTTCCTGACATCCCTTTGGCTCATCTGAGTCTTCAACTTCCAATTGTGACCTCTTGTTTCTGTGTCCCATCTCTGGAACATCCTGTCTCTGTCCACCTTGCCTATTCCACACAGTATTTTGTATGTCGTTATCATGTCACTCCTGACCCTCCTGTCCTCCAGTGTGGTCAGACCAATTTCCCTTAACCTTTCTTCATAGGACATTTGCCTTAGCTCTCGAACCAGCCTTGTTGCAAACCTTTGCACTTTCTCTAATTTCTTGACGTGCTTGACCAGGTGTGGGTTCCAAACTGGTGCTGTGTACTCCAGTATGGGCCTGACGTACACAGTGTATAGAGTCTTGAACGATTCCTTACTGAGGCATTGGAACGCTATTCTCAGGTTTGCCAGGCGCCCATATGCCGCAGCAGTTATTTGGTTTATGTGGGCTTCTGGCGATGTACTTGGTGTTATCCTCACCCTCAGATCTTTCTCCTCGAGTGAGGTTTGCAATCTTTGGCCACCTAGCCTATACTCCGTCTGCGGTCTTCTTTGCATTTTCCCCAATCTTCATGACTTTGCATTTGGCAGGGTTAAATTCTAGGAGCCAGTTGCTGGACCATGCATCCAGCCTGTCCAGGTCTCTTTGTAGACCTGTCTGGTCTGCATCT